TTACATAATGCCTGGCAAAACACTGGCCAAAGTTCTAAGTCAGTGTAATGAAATTTAAATGCAGGTGCTTTATTGTGAAAAACTAGGACTGAAACTACAACATTATTTCCCAGTGATCTACCTTATGCATGTTTAAATGTAAAAGTGGGACATAAGATGGAGTTAGGGAGTCAGGGAAAAAGAAAGCTCTTCAGGTCAGTCTCTGGTTAAGTCTCTGGGCTTACCACTCCCTCTCTCTCTCTCTCTCTCTCTCTCTCGCTCTCTCTCTCTCTGTGTCTCTCTGTCTCTCTCTCCCTCTCTCTCGGGTGGTAATCCCTGACTAATAGCAAATTAGGATATTGGCAGTGACAGCAGCAGTGAGTAATGTCTTCTGTCAACTGGAAGGGCATATCAATACCCAGGAGAGGGTTGCTAAAGTGTAGGTTTGTCTATCACAGAAAAGACCCACCCATGAAAGAGATGTTGTGGAGTTCATAGCGTTGACATTATGGCAGATATACAATTAATGCTCCTGTAAGTACAATAAATGAAACCTTAAATGTTGGAGGGAAAATTCTGACCTTTCTACTTGCTTTTAGCAGAATGAGCTGCAAAATTCCCAATTACTCCTCACTTAAGATTCATACTCAGTTTTATTAGCCAGGTATGTTGACACATGCAAGGGATTTGACTCTGGTAATAGTCCATCTTACAACGTTTTTATTTCTATTGTCCATTTTAAAGACTATTTGTTGTATTTCCTTTTGTTTTCTCTTGCTGTATGAAGCCCATTTTGTTTTCATTGTAATGACGCCCCTCTCCACTGGGGTCACTGTGGGTGCTGTGAATTCAGGTCAGGCACAATTAATGCAACGATAACATACATTTTGAGTCAGTTTGTTTTAAACAAATACAAACACACAATTATTTAACAAATATAAGAAGGTATGAGTAGTTATCTGGGTATTTCTCTCATCTATGTGAAATATTGAATATATCGAATCGAATCTGGACCCAAAGAATCTAAATCGAATCAAATTGTGAGTTTGTGGACAATACCCAGCACTATTGTATAGTAACGTTTTCTTAAGAACATAATCCCTTTTCTTGCTATTGCTGCAAAGTAAGCAAACACTAAAGCTGTTAGATACATGAAGGTGGGAAAGGTTCGATATTTTCTTCCTTAAAGTAGTGAAGCAGAAGTATAAAGTAGTAAACATAGGCATTAACTAAGGAACAAAAATAAAGACAGTACATCTATACGACATGGTATATCTTACTTGTGACAAAGCTCTGATTCAGGGTGAATATTGGACCACCTGCGTCCATCTCCATCTGTTCCAGACGTACTGAATGCTGTGTGTGAGCCACATATAGAAAAACATCAAGGTGGAGATGAGCACCTTGGTTCCTGGAAACACAAGAAGACAGATGGTATGAATGACACAGCACTACATTTTCAAACCTTATTCAAACACCACCTGAAGTAAAATGTATCATGAAAAGACCAAAGAGATTTTTGATTTAAAAAAAGGGCACATAATGATTACAAGGTCAAGGACAAATGGTTCTAGGATATAGGATCATTAAGGGTGCCTGGTGTTTTTAATGCACTTCGTGCCTAGGACATAAACCATCATCAGTACAGGTAATAAAATGTACGGTTAGGGGGTAATGACATCCAACAGAAACTGTTTGTTTGGAAGATTTCTGCCCTTGTACATTTCAGCAGGAGGAGACAGAAGTCATAGTGATGTCTCAATGAGTCATGCACTGGCATGAGTCAAGAGCCAAGACATTTTACCCTTTACTGCCCTCTCCAAGATTTGTTTTCCCCCCTAGCAAAACAGATGGAAATCATCAGGCAAAAAATAATGTTTTTAAGGGCAGTAGCAGACACATGACTGAAATATGAGTCATAACTTGGACAGAGAAAAATAAATCAAATATAACTGTCTTAGTATAAGTCTTCTGAGTTATTCTTCTATAAAGGAGACTGCAGACGCAATAAAAAAAACATCTGACAACCATATGAAGATGCATACATTTCATGCCATAACTCCTAGCAATGTCACAGAAATCATGCTAAATGAAGATGAAAAACAATTCATGAACAAGGAACTTACAAGGGGAACTATCAACATGGAGTGAACAAGACTTCAATAGGACAGCTGTTCTCGAGTCTCTGTGACGCTGTACTTAATGCAGAAAAGTGGTAGCATGCATAACACGTTAAATCAGCACTAAACACAAACTACAGCTGAGGATGATGAGAGTGTCATTACATTTGCATGCATTTGGGAAAAAACACTAGTGCACTATTAAAATAAATATTACTTTATTACTATAAACTATTTAAAAAGATTATATTTTTAAATGATTTATGCGCTAGATAAAAAAAAGTCAAGAGGTTAATAAAAGTCAATGCAGAAAATGTTTGACATGGTTGTGTACACCACAGTTCATGTCAATTTATACAAAATGTGTAAATTGAATGTGAAGCCATACATTGTGAAGAAAAAGCAAGTGGATGACAAAAGTCAATTCATTTCACCTGATGGGGACAACAATTAGGTGTACAAAATGAAGTGCCATGACGTTCAGCCAACGTTAAGATATTTCAAAAAGATAAGTGACAACTTTGGCCTGCTGGTGGCACTAGAAGATAGTTATGAGATCATTAAAGGTACACTAGTATGCAGATTTGGGAGTGAAAGTGAAACAATTTGATGCTATATTTTCTGAACTAAATACACAAACTTTATTTCAAGAAAAAAAAATGGGTCCCTGGTACACTGTTTGGAGCTAAAAAGCTACCAGGAGAGTTACGGTTTCACTGTTGCGACACACCACCATAACTTCTCGCGTTGCATTTTTTTATCCTCAAACTGTTTTCCTCTGAGGACAGTTAGTGTATAGCGTTATGAACATGTACTGAATCTATATATTTCTCCAACTTTCACGTGGCTCTACAAAAAATCCATAGTGCGCCTGTAAAGTCACCACAGTTTATTTAAGTATTAATCCCCAGGGGGTAATTCGAAAATCCACAGAATAGTAGTGAAAGTTGTTCTGGTTTCAACCTAATGGTGTTGTCAAACTAAATATTCTTAGGGAATCACCAGATTTAAGGCGTCATCCTTTGGGGACCATATGTGTACAAAACTTGATCTTAATTAGTCCAGTGGGCTTTAGTAGGTAGTTGAGGTATTTCAGGCGGGAACAAATGGTGAACAGATCTGAGTGCCAAGACATGCTGCTAAACTCTAACTGACAAGCCAAATTTAACTTGCTGTGCTTTCAACTAATCCAACATTCACAGTTTTCATGGTTTGGTCTGTCTCTTTCTGAACTGGATCCAGTGGAGGTGTGGAAACCACGAAAATGGAAGCTTACTGCTATTATAGAGAGAGGTCGGTTTAACTTGTAAACAGTCTCCATGGAAATTGAATGAAGTAATGAGAAAATGAGTCCCTCCTGTACAGGGCATAAATGTCAATTTGCTCTGGCCACAATGTTTGATGTCATTCTTAAATTCAATGAACTGGACATTCCCACCCAAGACTAAACAGAACCATGTTCCTTAGCAACAACCACCCAAAATGTGTAAAGGACTGCTGGGGTAATAACTAATTGTGCTGTTTATTCTTGTCTCTATCAACATGTCGCAGTCAGGGTGCTGGGCTCAAAGCCAAAGGTTTTGTCTAAAGAAGAATAGTGTTTCAGTTGAACTGAACTTTACCATAACAGCAGCTTTGCTCCACAGTGTTGGGAATTGAGCTTACCCTCTGTTCTGTACCTCAGGGGAACATTTTGGTGACATGCAGCTTTTCTTTGACCCTTTAAGAGTGATTGAGCCCACAGGGACCCCAGTTATAAACACATACACAAATTCAAACCACTGCTAACATGTAACAATTACTCACCCTTTATTCCCCTTCCACGACACTCTTAGTGATGTTTTCGGAGATCTGAATGAAGAACTTTTCTTTCACATAGTATGAAGAAGTGTACATTTGTTTTAAGAACCACAAATGCTGTTTCAACTCATCGCCACCGCCACAGTGACAATAAGCTTAGAAATGGCGCCATCTTCAGGTGCTTTCCGCTGCTCTTAAGCTATAAATTCATGGTTTCCTCACGTCATTCACTCACCTGTATCTGTACGTGTAGTCTGTTGTTTAAAAAAATAACTTGTGTTCGACTATCTAGGCCAGGGATGGGCAACTTTGGTCACGGCAAGGGCCACATTCAATTAATTCTTCCTGCCAAAGGGCCAAATTGTAGTATACAAAAACGATCAATTATGAATCAATTATAAGAAAAAATCAATTATGTCTCAAATTTAACTCAGCATATGCCAGTGATCAAATATTATTATGGACGTATTTCTGGTTTTCATGATTTCATGGCAGATTTCAGACATTTTCTTCATGTTTCCAATTCATTGATGTGTAAAAATTGACCTGAGGGCCACGTTGAGGGTTGATGGGGGCCACAGTTGCCCACCCCTGATCTAGGCAGAGCTGCGATTTGAGCTACATGCTAAGAATATGCTAAGAATTACAATGCTAACAAGGTGACGTCAGGTAAGCATAACTGTCTGATAATTTAAAATACATGTGAAGACAGTATATTCACAGTCTATGGTAAAGCCGTATAATAAAGGGGTTTTAATAACTTAGAGGATAGTAATTCTATGTAGCCATTAATTTCTAAATGTGTCAGCAACTGCAGCTGCAGCATATTCTGTTAACACAAGTGGATACTGATAGTGAAATAAATTCTACTTTCACATACTCTTTTAAAAGTCCCTATGTTTGCTTTATATTTTGTATGTGCTCGCAAGATTTAACGAACAAGGAATTCATTAAAATAGTGAATTATAAAACATTTAACTAAACCATTTTGTTTATCTACCAGTATTTCATAATGCCAGGGAGACTACAAAACGGATATCAGGATTTTGGAAAAAATCTTTATTTTCCTTGTTTTGAAAGAAAAGGATATTTCATGCAAACTGCTTTTTTAACTGCTTTATTTTCTTGCGCACACACTGGGTACAGGGCTCCAGGAAATATAGGATTATATTAGTGGTTGGGTGGAGGAATGTTACATCTCAAACATTGAAATACATTTCCACTTTCATGTCATCATGTATACTTATGTCAATCAATTATGTTCTTGTCATGTACTTGGTGGCTTTTTAAGCATCAAATAAAATGACACAGACCTCAGTGCTAGTCCTCAACTTGGTTCAGGTACAATTTAAAAGAACTAAATAGACAGTTAAACAATAACAATAAAATAATGCTTAAAACAAATTCATGCATGTGCAACTCTAAGATATTCTGTCGAAACTCATACAATAATTTGCTCAAAATGAATATTTCGTCTCACATTATATGTTTCATCCAGAAACATTTTTAACAGCCAACTAACATAGTTTTTCTTCATATGCCTCATCTGAACATAAAATAAAAATATATAATCTTTCCAAATAAATTGCACAAAAGAAAGAAAGAAAGAAAACAATGAAACCTACAAACATACAGAAGCATATGTTATCTCTCACTCCCGTTATATCTTCACAACCTGCCAACCCTTCAGCAGTCTATATTAACGCTGCAGAGCAGCTCCTCCAAGGCATCCAGTTTCTGATTGGCCTCCTCGATGGCGCTGTACGTCTGCACGTTGCTGGCGATGTGATAGCGGATCTCGTCTACCAAGGGGACAGAGTCTGTCTCATGTCGCTCCTCCAGTGACGCAGCATCCTCTTTAACGACCTCTGCAAACTCGGGCTGCTCCACCAGCTGTGACATATAGACAGGTACATGTATGTGTGTGAATTTACCGGTAAGTGTAGCTGGGGCAACAGTGAGTTCACAGGCTAATAAAACTACTGACGCAGATACTAGATGCAGCAAAAAGAAGAAATATGTTATCAATATCAATAATTGTTTATATGCAGAAATTAAAGCATCAATTTGAAATTTGTACAATTTAGCCCCAAGCTGTTCTAACCCATATTTGCCAGGACCAACAAACGGGCTCCAGTGTAAACAAAGAGGCACAGACGTCACCTACCCGATCAATGATCTTAGCCATAAACTCTGTGCATTGATCCTCCAGCCGAGAGAGACGGAAAAGCTTCGCCATCTTCCACATGTACAAAACGTTGTCCTCACATATAGTCTTAGCAAGAGTCTTCCCACAAAGACGCTTCAGCCCGGGCAGCAGATACATGTCGGCCACGCACAGCACGTCAAACACATTCTCTGCTGTCAGCTGTAATGGAAAGAACTCCAGTCACTGTCTGATTATAATCATTAATAGTCAAGTGACATTACCTTTGTTATTCAGGAGCTTTACATTTGCGTTTGTCAGATATAATTATCGACTGTCTGTCTCTTCCTCCCTGGTTTTAGTACATCCGTTTGTTTGTGTTTACAATCTTGAGTTGAATTTCAAACATCCTAAAAATGTGGCCACTTAATATGTAGCTTAAATATTTGCGTGTCACACCCTTCAAAGATAGAAAAAGGGCGTGGGTTTAGGACTGCAACGTTACTGTTGGCTTGTAAAACCAAAAGAGTGAATGGAAAAATACGATACATATCTATGAGCTTACTGATGAACTTCCAAATGCAAGAATACTGCGTGATGTTCATCAATCAAGCCATAGCAACAAAATAAAAGAGGGAATGATTATATAGATGCTTGATATGTGAAAGTGTTATTGTTAATATTTGGGTGGAATAAAACATAAAAAGTGCTTAGAAAAGTGAGAAATATTCTAAAATAGTGTTTGCAGTTGTTTTATAGAAAAAAAGTTAAAGAGCAAAACAAATGTGAACTCCTGTTCCTACATTTTTTTTTCTCAAAAACCAGTTTGTCTGCCATTAATTAGTTTGTAAAGATTTTTTTTAACAGCTGGTAGACTAACAAGTAATTCTTATTTTAGTGTAAACAGATCCATAAACAACAATAAGCCAGAGGCTGTGCACTCACCTCTGTGTCATCCCTGTAGATGTAGTACATGACATGGATAAATATTTCATGGGAAATGTTGTGTAAAGTAATCACTGGCGTGCTGGGCTGAGACTGCAGCTGCTCGCCCTCGCTGAAGTGGTCTTCCAGCAAGGCTTTAAAGTAATCGCTACGTCCGCAGAAAAACGCCTCCAGACACGCACACAAAAAATATCACAATGAATAAAAATGGACATTTTCATTTGAGTGAGAGGATTGGTGCAGCGCTCTGTGATGTGATCAAGGAATGTTTTGTGGCTCGTTTGTACCTTATGACACAGGAAATTAAAACTCTCGACTCGGAAGCAGATGTCAGGATACGTTGGGAAGTGGTCGACTCTGTTAAATGGAAGTTCACCAAATCCAACCTGTGGAGAATAAACAGAAAGAGTGGAATTAAAAATAGACTAATTCAGTCTAAACCGGACGCGGTTAAACGTTTCACAATGCCCTTACCCGCAGTTCAGTGGGAACTGCACAGTCTGCTAACTGAGCCATCTCCTCCTGCAGCTGGCAGCTTTGAGGGTCCAGACTGAGCACCTTCACACAGACTCCTGGTTTGTTGGACACTTCAGAGTGAAGACAAAAAAGAAAATAGACACAAAATGGACAATTTTTATGATAAAAGTGAAACATACTTCACCCAAGCTACCTAAAATACGTGGATGCACTCAAGTTAAAATGTGTTTTTGTGACTATTTGAAAAGTTGTGTTTGACTCTTCTAAACAGTGTGAACAAGAACTCAGAGACCTGACTTACCAAATTCATACACCTTTTTGCATTTATTTTCAAGCTCCTCTATGAGGTCGGTCATTTTGCACTGTTTAGCAAGTCGTCTGGAGTCCTCCACAAGGCTGATGTCAATATCCATACGTCCTGTAACAATAAGAATAACTAAGAATGAGAAATGGGAATCTTACATATACAGTGTTTGATTTATTTGTTTTTATGATTTCTTGTGTGCTTTATGTGCTCCTTTTATTCTACTGATTTGAAGAACTTTGTAACACAAGATAAGAAAGGTGCTCTATAAATGAAGTTTGTTATTATACTATTATTACAGCTTCAAATGTTATTTTCACTTGTGTTAACTAGTGATGTTAAGGTACAGTGGTTTGTGTTCAATGGAAATAACACTTGCTGCAGTTCTATAATCAACTTATTGGTGCTTAAGCAATACTTTCCTTTGTTTCGTGATAACTCCCTCTGTTCATACTAGATGTGAAAAGCTCCCTTCTCTCAGGCTCCCATGACATTAAAAAGGAGGGGGAGGGGGGGGTCACAGTTTTGAACTCGAACTACTGGAAGATTCCCACCTCATTAATTTAACTCAGAAGGCCAACGAAGCAAATTAACTTCAGGTCATCTTAAAATGAAGTTTTGCACATAAGGGAGGATACATTATTTTTCTTAAGGGTCTCCAATAAATCCATGCTGTTATCTTTGTTACTGGTACCTTACAGAACGATAACAAAGACATCATTTACCAGAAGAATCTTGTAACTGTGCCAAGTGTTGAAGCTTAAATGTATTTGAAGTTCTAATACACTCACCTGTATAGATATATTGCAAGATGGCTCTAAAGGCTGCAGGGTTTATCTGAAAGTCAAAATCGCTTTGATCAGCACAGATATAAAGGGAGAGCGTATGTCTGAAATGTTGAATACAAGAAACTACCTAAACACAAAGCAACAGCACAGACTTAATCTTTTAGAATATATCAATTTACCAAAGGGTGTTTGAGGGTGATCAAGGTCTTCCCTTTCCATTTAGTCTCGAACATATCAGTGAAGTACTCGGAGCGTGCACTCAGGACACATCTGTGGGCCGTAAATATCTGTCCGTGTACCAGGAACTTGACATCACTTTGTGGACCCTGCTCCAGTAACCTAAAGCAAAAAACACATTAATGTTCAGAGAACATGATGTCTAAAGGTTTGCATCCAAACTGCAAGCTGTACTGTTGTACTCCATTCCTCTCATTTCCTCATCCTTCTCATTGTAAATTGATGTAACAGCCGAGGAAAAAAAAAAAAGCCAACAGGCATCGATCCTTACATGTGCAGAAAGTAGTTGAAATCTCCCCTCTGCATGGCGCGGACACTGACACACTTATAGTCCTTGATCAAACGTCGAACAGAGTCATTCAGAGAGCCGTACATACATCGCTCGCCATCAAACGTGTTGGCTTCAAACTTGGCACCTTGATGAAGAAATACAAATCATGGAGACGAGGGTTATACTACAGAACATTTCAGAGCAGTTGGTATGCTGAGCATGATATTCAAATCAAATCATTTTGACATTCTGCTTTAACTCTGTTGAAAAAAGAAAGTAGCAATATCACTATATTTGAATTGCAGTCTTACCACTAGCCAACAGGTACTGGACCAGCTGCTCATGGCCACAGAGACAGGCATAATACCTGAAAAGGTGCATAAACATTTTAGGTTATTTCAGATTATGATGCTGTGTGAGCCTGAAAGTTAAGACTGCTTGACTTAATTGTACTTACAAAGGAGTGCTGTCCCATTTATCTCTTACATTGAGGTCCACGTCCCTCTGTTCAACAAGGTATCTTAAAAAGACAAGAAAAACAGATAAGCGGTCGGAGTAATTTTCTGAAAAGGCCCTAACAAAACGATGGGTGCTTCAAAATAAATTCTCACACAGCTGCAGAAATGATACACCCTATATGGAAACTACCCTTTCATTTAAGGTTGTTTTTAATCCTATGCTAATCCATGCTTTGATTATCACCATGGAAACATAGTAATGCTAGTAATGTGCACAGTGTCATATAATGTTGAAAGTGCTTGTGCACTATTACATGTTGTACGGTTACACCGTCAGCAGCGTACGTAAGGGTTCTCGCGAGACTATACAGATAGACGCACTTGTATGTGATGTTGGCTGGCGACCGTGGATGTGTAATAAATACAGCTCCGGCTAAAAGTGCATGAAGCCTCTTGTGCAATCTTTTACACACACACACACACACACACACACACACACACACACACACACACACACACACACACACACACACACACACACACACACAGAGCAGGTTTCGCTTTGTTTTCCCCTTTAACTGGTTTACAGTAGTCTTGTGTCAGCACAGTGGTTTGTATATACTGGAAAAAAAAGTATATTATTATTATTATTATAGTATAATATGTATATTGGGAAAATATTTGTATATTATGACAAATAATGAATAGCTGCATACAATGACTTTGTGGATTTGGGTTTAAATATTACTTAAAAAAACTGGAAATATACTAATGTTGTGCACAGAGTATGTTTCTATCTCTAAATGAGGACTAATTAAATTGTATTTTATATATTTTTTAAATCGATCTGACACATCTCTGTTATGTACTGTGTTTATAAACTAAGACTCACCTGTGTACCGCTGCGAGCAGGTGGCATGTTGAATATCGATCTAATATTCACATCGGTCTAAATCATGTTGTGTCTGACATTGAATGTTTGCAGAATGGTAACTATCTTATCCTACGTCGCTTTTTTAAAAAAAGAAAGAAAATAAGCAGCTGACCTACAAACAGCTGAAGTTACTGCCTGGGCCATCAAAGCTATAGTTAGCAACACCATCGCTGTTTACCTCAAAACACACTGCAGTTAGCTTTTTAGAACAACGAATTATTCCATTTATTTGACTGTAAAATAAACTTGTACACTGGGAAAGATAACACTAAGAGAGAGAGAGAGAGAAAATACCAGCGGAGTCGCCGTCGTTACCTGACTCTGCAAATGTCGCCCTTTCTGCAACTAATAAACAAATCAAGCACGTCCATGATCTCCGCGGTGTTTTCGGTCCTCTGTAATGCATTTAGACGGCCTGTCGGGCGGACAGGTGAGGGATGAGTAGGCTGAGCTTTACAGTTAAAGCTTAGTAACGTTTGAAGTTTAATAACGACGGGAAATTGGCTGCTGACACACCTTCTTGTGGTTGTTTACAAGCTGGTTGACTGCTCTGTGTTTTGATCGAAGAAAGTGCTGTTATCACGTGACATGTGTCTACTTCGCTTGTGGTCGGAAAAAATGGTACACTCAAGTCCCAACAGCGGGGTAGATGTTTATATCCTCTACTATAAAGGCCAGAGACCACGGTACCGCTGTCTCACACTGACAACAAATATTTGTTTAAACAATTTTTTACTAATTTTACGCATTATATTTTCTTCCTAACTTAAATAGCCAGCCGCTGGAGTAAACGTCATTGAAGTCCTGAAAGTCGGAGCTGAGGATGCTCACGTGAATGCAGCATATGTCCAGTTCATGGCTTGGGGCCATAGACCGTAAATAAGAGGGTTTAGCCCTGAGCTGAAAAACACACTCTTTAATTTCAACCCATAGTCTGACAAACCAGTATACCTACTAACATCTAAAGACTCAATCCAGTAGGCTTATTTAATTTATAACCTATTGACCTAATACAAACGAGTACATGTTTTTAAAGCAGTATTTATTCCAGTTTCAATATAAATTGTAAATACAAAATATGATAACAGAAAAATGATAAGAATAAAGTGAAAGCACAAGTGTTTGAGGTCTTCTATTTATTCTTTCAGATGAAGTGCTGCAACCCGATGTTTTAATAAGGAGATCTGAAGTTGAAGTTTTTCTCGCTCCATCAGGAGGTTTTCCTTCTGCAGTTTCAACACATCAGACTGCAAACCATCTGCGAGGAAAGAAATATACATAAAGGCTATTATTCTTTTTATTATTATTCTTGTGAAACAATTATAATGTTACAGTCACAGGAAATAATCCTCTACTAGCATGTGTTTAATTATGATTCATCTTATATGGGAAAAACCCCTTACCATGAAGCATGAGTAATACAGATGTCTGGCATGGGAAACATGTTTTCTCTAATAATTAGCAGTACAAATGCAGAGACACTGAAGTTTAGACAAGGGGGTTTACGTTTGAAGGCTTTGTTGTAATGGCTTAAATAACACTTTATACATTTTAGGCTAATTAAAACCTAAAGCCTGCATAAAACGTTGTTGTTGTCCACTAAAAGGCTAAAGTGAAGAGGTAATATTTACAAGCTAGTTTAAGCCACCCGCCGACATTTGTCTCAATTTTTTTTAAACAACTTTTAACAGCAGCTTTTGTGAGTTTCCTGATTTAGCTCTTTTTAATTACATTGGGCTTCTATCTAATATGGGGTATATTAAGCCAATTATAATGTGTGGATATTATTTAAAAAAAAGGTTAAATGAAACCTTTATTATCAGCTGTGAATTTGTAAAAGAAAGAGGAAAACACTCCCAAATACCAAGCATTTCTCCTGTTTGCAACCCTGTCATTCAAAGAGGCCATACTGTGCTGTAAAATTCAAAGGTTCTAAACATGAAGCACAAGTGTTGGTCTGCTGTATACTCCTTCAGACAAGAGAGAGTAAATCATAGTTTTGCTCTTTACCTGTGACAGCTCTGTTCACTGATGCCCGCTGGGTGTCACATATTTGCTGGCTCTTTGTCACCCAGAAAAGAGGAGTGCTGCGTAATTCTACCTCAACGGGGTAGTGGTCGCTCACTCTCAGGGCCTGTGTGATTTTGCATGCATAAACTGAATGTGGAACTTTTCTACAAAAACAGGAGCAGCTATACGTGTGGGAAAATGCAAATACTGTGTTGGTTTCTATGAGGGACACCTTACCATTTCTTCAGTCATCGCAAACTCTTTGTGGAAATTAAATGGTTTGGCTGAGTTTGGCACAATGGCGGCAAGCATATCTTCTCCATACACAACAATCCTTTTGAGAGAAATATACTAGATTATACATTTTCTTTTTGTTTTTAAAAGATTGTACGGGGCTAATTCTTAATACTCCTGCAAGAAATGGTTATTTTGGAATTGAATGTATGGAGGTAATTACAGTGCACTTGCCGGTCGTAGCTGTGCTCGTTTGATGTGTTTGCAGTCGTGTCCACGTCATCACCAATCAGCCAATGGAAATTCTTATCGCTGCGAATACGGATGTCTTTCATTTCTTTGGAGGTGACATATATTCCATCAGCATTGAAGTCCCCCAGGATCATTATGTTCTAGAGGAATTCAGAGATGGTTATTTAAGCAGTACAGTCGATGCTCACATCAGTTCAGAGAAATCAGAGAAATCCCTTTAAATGTAGACACGGTACATCATTATTTATAGATCATTTATGAGCCATATAGAATGAAATAAAAGTATGCAGGTGTAGTGATGAACCTTGAAGCTTTTAAAGGACTATTCACTCACATCAGTTTTCCACTTGGCTTTGACCTCGAGGAAGACCTCGTACAGCTCGTCAAGCTCTTTCTCCGAGTCCCACGCCCTGGTGTGCACCGGAATCAGCACTATGTTCTTCAACACTGCAACCAAAACAGTCCTATAAACTCCAGATCTGTCCTCTGATAACATGCCCCATCAGGGTGAATTTAAAAAGGTGTAGATACACAAAGCAGACACCCAGACCGATTTAACTTGGTAAACCTGCTCTGTGCTCCTGTGTGTCACCTGTCACCTTAAATCAGATTCATTCAGCTTAAGAAAACAACCAGGCACATACAAAGACATGACTCAGAAATACCACAGTCTTCTCATCATGTCATCATAACGTCTACAGCAACTGAAAACAAGCATCATATTACTACCCATAAACTTCCTGTGAGAGACAACCTGTGTTTCGGGGTTTGAAGTGGAGAATATACGGCTCCCTTGCAAAAGCATCCATGTCATCCTCCTGATTGTCTTCATACTGATAGCAGTCGATCAGATCAACAACATCATCCCTGACAGTGGAAAAGAATGCTTTTAACTGAAGCTGTTTATGATAGAAACAAAGAGGACAATGTCTGGCGATAAGATTCAATCTCACCTGTACAGAAACATAAACTGTTCCTTGTATCTGTTCCGGCCCAGGCGGGTGCTGAGCTGCAGACCGTAGTGATGTCTGGTGTTGACTCTGAGACAGCACAAGATCAGCACAAGTAAGCATAAATAACAATAGGCCAAGACAATCCCAGCTAGACATAAGAACATAAACGTACCTGTTCAGCTCTTTTATGAAGAGTTTCACTGAATCTCCGCTCACATCCACAACCTCCAGAATCAGTATGATGTCATACTGGGACACAATCTACAGAGGATAAATCAGGGAAGGAGTTTTTTTGTATTTTCATTCTTCACAATATTTTGTTTGATGTTTCCTCTTGGCTGATTCCCAAAAATCACATTGGTGATAAGACCCATGTGTTACCAAAACACAAAATTGAAGAACAACAGATCTTTTTTGTTTACCGTTTTTGCTGAAACCGACCCCCTGATGCCTATCCATTAGCGTAACAATACGGTAGGCTACATAACAACACCAAAATGAGATGTTCTTTACCTTAATTAGAGCTGACAGGACATCTGGATCAGCGACTTTCGTCAATCCAAACCTCTGAACGTTGAAAGAGGCGATCTTCATATCTGACAAGAGAGGAGCCAATGGAAAAATTACAACTAATCCATTTTCCTTTAATATACACATACACACAAAGTCTTGGCTTTACCTTCTATAGAGGTCCTACTCCTAACAAACGCTGAGAATAAAGCTACAACAGGTTGAACAACTGATGCATTTTAAAAGTTGTTTTTTTTAAGCCGATGATTGCGTAAGTGGTGTGAAAGGGAGGAGAGCAAACACTGTGACAACAGGAGGACAGCCCAGATTTTGGTTTACAACCAGCTGTCACTTTAAATGATAAATGACGCCACATGTATGGAAACAACAATCCCTACATTCTGACTTAATCTTTTTTCTTTTTTTGACATGACTATGCTTTTTAAAGGATGAAACAAATACATTTGTAAAAACACATTTGAAGACGGTGACAGTTTTCTTTTCATCATGTCAAAGCTCATTGACATGATGCTCCCAAAACAATTACATGTCTCACATTTTTTACACCTTTGGGTGCATTTTCTGGATAATCTACAATCTACACATTATTATTATTATTGCCTTTGTTGCCTTATTTTATAGTTCACTCAATTAACATTTTTTTCTGTCAATTTTTTTCCCCATGAATCAATCTGTGACGTGAGTTTCATCAATAAAACGTCAGAGGCTCATCATGAAATATGTCGATCAGTTTTCACCAAAGCCCAAATAATGTCTTTTTATCATTTCTAAACATTGTTTTGACCAAACCTCAAAGATATTTAATATACTGTCATTCAAAAGGACATAAAACACACATTTATAGCATTTAACATGCTGGAATTACTTGTCTCATCAAAAGTCCTTATATGGACAAAGTCATTAATCAAAAAAGGCAACTTTAGGAAATTTGGAAAATCTTCGATAACAAGCTCCACCTACTTTTCATAGATTGTGTGAGATCTTGCTGTTTTAATTCACACTTATTTGTCTTTCACCACCTTTTGTTGTCTGCTCTTTTACTGCTCATGCAGCATTACTTTGAACCATCTAACTCGGACATGGATCCAATTACTGTATCTATCTGGATTCCAGTCATGCTCTGATTACAGATTTTGTCACTTGATGCTTCCTTGTATCAATCACTAACTTTTCTATCCTTAATCAGACAGTGCTGTCTTTGATGAAACACCTGTTGGGCATTGCTCAAATACCTGAAACTGCAAAACATGGAAAATTTCTTGCTCAACAACAGAAACAATGCAACTTTCACAGTGGAGGTAGGTGGGAGAACAGGAGGCATGTGTCTGACTGGTTAACCCACATTGAAAAGCCACATATCTCCGCTATCATGCCACACCCAGAGTCCTATAAAGAAGCAACCAAAAGATAAGAGATGCACATTTGAGCTCAAACACGGCTTGAGCTCCTGTCCATCCTCTCCAGAAATAAATATCCACATATCATCACTGCCATGAGTCTGAGGAGCAAACGCAGCACCCGCCCAGGACTACACAGGTCCTCAGGGGGCTTCAGTACCAGGTCCATGGGATCCAACTCCTTCTCCAAGATCAACAGTGGACCACATCAGGCAGCCATGATTACAGCCGTGACCATCAACAAGAGCTTGTTGAACCCGCTGATAATAGACATTGATCCCAATGTCCATGCTGTCCGCAACCAGGAGAAAGAGCAGATCAAGAGTCTCAACAACCGCTTTGTTTCATTCATTGATAAGGTAAGAGTAAATCCCCTGTCTTTTACATTTAAATCCACTTAAGATACTTTATTTTAGGCCAAATATATACATAAAAGATGTTAGGATCTGTTTGATTTTGTTGGTGCCTCCTCCTTGTGCAACAGGTGAGATCCCTAGAACAGCAGAACAAAATGTTAGAAACCAAGTGGGAGCTGCTGCAGGGACAGACTGAAGCCTCCTCTGATGTGGAGCCCATGCTGAAGTCCTACATCAGCAATCTGCAGAGACAGCTGGAGTTCATCAACAATGACAGACAAAGACTGGACATGGAGAACAATGTCATGCACAAAAATGTGGACGACTACAGGACCAAGTAAGAGAATCCCCTTGAGCAAAATAGGGAACTAGAGCTAAGATGCTTACTGATAAGACTTGCGGGACTAATGTGATATTTTGCACTGTTTCAGGTATGAGCATGAGATCAACCAGAAGAATGATGGAGAGAATGAGTTTGTCATGCTAAAAAAGGTGCAGTATAACATGATAGCTATGATAGACACTTTTTTTTCCTGAGTGTCTATAAAACTGATTGATATAACTTTTTTATGCAGATTAGGATCTGAACTATTTGTTTTGTATTTCATTTCATTCATGTTTTTTAAAGTCATTCTACTGAGATGTTTGGTATCATCTGAAAGCTACAAATCAAACAATAATACAATCTCAGCTGCACATTTTTAAGTTATTGATTAAAAAAATGAATCTGTGTCTATTAAATAAAAATGTAATAAACCCAGGAAATGTATTTCTTACTGTTCTTGTGCTTTTTTTTAATTTCAGGATGTGGACGCAAGCTACATGTCCAAGATAGATCTAGAAGACAAGCTGTCCTTGATCAGTGATGAGTTTAAATTCCTCCAGGCTCTGTATTACACGGTACATAACCACTTGCTGAAAACCTTCACAGAATTTCTTAAAACTCATATCAAAGAAACATTATGTATGGATTTGTCTTCTTACTGTAGCTGTGTGTGTGTGTGTGTGTGTGTGTGTGTGTGTGTGTGTGTGTGTGTGTGTGTGTGTGTGTTGTTGTTGAATGAAAAAGGAGCTGCATGAGCTTCAGGACAGCCTGAAGGAGACCTCTGTGGTGGTGCAGATGGACAACTCCCGCGGCCTGGACATGGAACAGATCGTGGCTGATGTTAAGGCTCAGTATGCAGACATTGCCGCCCGCAGCCGCGAGGAAGCTGAAAGCTGGCACAAAAACAAGGTGATGCTCTTAAATATTTCCCTGTTGTTGTTGAACAAGATTAGAATGAAACCAGAAAAATGAAAGGGGTCAACAGTTTAGAAGAGCTCATAAACCTACTTAAATACCTTGACTTTTTGAGTGAAACCACTCTTGTCAAACCTGTTCTTCACTTTTCTCACATGTTTCTTCCTCTGTTTTTTTTTTTTTCCTAACTGCACCAGTTTGACCAGAAGAAAGCTGAGGCCGACCAGTATAGCAATGAGCTGCGTAGCTCCAAGGGGGAAATATCTGAGCTCAACAGAATGATCAGCCGCCTGCAGAACGAGATCCTAGCTGCAAAGGCACAGGTCAGTGAAAGGTTTGGATAATGGCTGATACAGTATGTGGCAAGTCAAAGTTTAATGGACTTGTCTGGGCTTGATATTTTCCAGGTAATTGAGTTATCTTTGCTAATAGGTGCTACAATCTGTAAAATAAAAGGAATGCAAACAAACTTTAATAAAAAAGCAACATCTTTGGAGCTTAATGTTACTCTTCAAGCAGCACTTAACTGATTCAATCTAACTTTATGAAACAATTTCTGACAGTGTGCAAGTAATTTAACATTTTCTTATCTCAAGCATTTGTGACATACCTCAACGTCAATGAAACATCTGCAGTCCCATGTTTTAAGGTGATTGACAAGAACAGTGCTTTCTTCCTGCTTATATAATCCTGCCTCACACGTTTTTCAGCGTGCTAACCTTGAAGAGCAGGTAGCCGAGACAGAGCTTCGTGGTGAGGAGGCTGTGCAGGATGCCAAGGCTCGCATCAGGGACCTGGAGCTGGCTATGCAGAGGGCTAAGCAGGATATGGCTCGGCAACTCAGAGAGTACCAAGAGCTCATGAATGTCAAGCTGGCCCTGGACATAGAGATCTCCACCTACAGGAAGCTGCTGGAAGGAGAGGAAGAAAGGTGAGTTGTATTGAGAATCAGAGTAGTGACTATTTCTCTTGACATACCTCATTAAATGCAAGCTATTTAGAGCTTTAATTACCAAAAAAGCTACACTGGAACCTTCCAGAAAATTATGCCTCATCATTTGAACTTGAGTTTGTTTTTTTTTTTAAAGATTTATTTTTGGGCTTTTTATGCCTTTAATGGAGATATAGGACAGTGGATAGAGTCGGAAATCAGGGACAGAGAGTGGGGAATGACATGCAGGAAAGAAGCCACAGGTGGGATGTGAACCCAGGCCGCCCGCTTGAGACGACAGCCTCCATACATGGGCCGCGTGCACTAAGCACTGCGCCACCAGCGACACCTGAACTTGAGGTTTTTAACCAATTCCACTGTTGTTTCTTGTCAAAAACCTGTTACCTGCACGCCCCAAAATGCATTTTACCACCAACAGTACGGTTAGAGAGCGGGGGTTCAGATAAAAATAAAAAAATAAATTTACAGCAGAAATTAACATGTCTACAGCCTGGTCCAAAAACTGAAATTGGTCTGACTAGCTCATGTCTCGATCATAATACACTGTAGGGGGGGGGGGGATTTTGATAACTAATAGGTTTCAATTTTATAAAATATAATCGTTATTCACAAAAAGGAGCGCAGCTGAACTGATTGACGGGTGGGTGAAATGTAACGGTTTGTCAAGAGGCTTAAAACCCGCCTAAGCTCCTACTCTTAACATGGCGCTAGGATGACCAAAAGTTAGGGTGAGACAGTATTTCCAGCATGGCGACTGCCATCAATGGGACCCAAAAGCCCCCCTGCAGTAACTGGTGGGTGATGTCACTCAGGCTTCGTCTATCAATATTTCCATGCTAGGTTCAAAGGTAGTGGCACTTGAGAGCTGTTGAGAACAGTTTTTGCAGGTTGTGTTTTTTCTGCTGAAAATGGCCAGAATGGGGAAACAATCCAGACACAAATTTCGGACAGTGCCGATCTGGAAAACCTGGAAACAGATTTACATGTATTTATTTGTAGAGCTCTATTATTTAATATGTGTTTACTTAGTTAGTAAATCAGTTCTGTTCATTGTTTTCCTTTTCTCACTGCAGAATTGGACAGGACTCTATTCTCAGCATCCAAACAATGCCCACAAAAGGTAACTACCATATATTTAAACTAAAGACAAACCCATTATAATCACTGTCCTATATGTATTGTTGTAATAGCACCTATGTTTGTGTGCATTTCTGTGATTTTTTTGAACTGTCTTTTACCCAACAGCCTACCCAGTTCACAACCAACTCCAGCGAAGGTCAAGCGCAATTCTCGTCAAGACAACGGAGACTTCTGACAGAATGTACTAAATAGCGAAGATAATACTAAAAACATAATTCAGTGCCGCAACCTGCTGGATAACTTTGGACATTTTATTCTGACGTTAACATCAGGCTGTAATTTATAATAAGTTACTTGCAGCACTTAGCCAAATCTGTTTGTCTATTGTGTAATTTCCTTCTCATTGTATTGAATTTCACACCATCTGCCTCTTTCTGTGTTAAAAATAAAGACGTACTCAACTGCATTGTATTTTTCTTCTTGGGTTATATTTAAGTGTACAGTTGTATAAGTAGTAGTTTAAATACATGTAGTTGTTTTTTAGTCTTTACAGTTACATACAAAGTATTGCGGATAAAAAGGTAAAAGTTGCGGGTGTACAGGGGCTTGTCCAGGCTTTTAATTTTAAGATTTATTTATGGGGGACAATTGTGTGCCTTTATTTGATAGGACAGTATGAGTAGGAAATAGGGTAGAGAATGGGGAATTACATGAAATGTGCCACAGGTCATACTAGAAGCCGGGCTGCCCGCTTGAAGGACTTACTACTAACAAAGTATATAGACGTTAAAGACCTGTGTAAATATTTTTCTAAAAGTAACACAACAGAATGAAAACATTAAGCTTGATTCTTTAAGGGCTCAAAAAGATGTTTGACAAAAGTAACAAAGAACTTTTTTGTTGGCATCATGGGTTGATATGATGCCAAACGTTGATAACACATATACTATTGTTTTCAAATACGTGTATTTCTGCAAGTTACACAGTGTCTGTGGACACGAACCTGCAGGTAATTACTTGAAGCATCACTTGGTGCAGCTTGTACGCTCACTCACGCACAAATAACAGCATTTAAATTGTTTGTCAATATAGGAAGTTCTGTCATTGTTGTTATTTTTCTGCTCCTTTGCGTAAGATTTTGAAACGTCAGGGTTTAATGACATGTGTCAATGTTCTAAGACCCTTTTTGTTCAGTCGCCTGCATGCTGAATGATTTCACCTGTATGTGTTAATTGTTCAACTTTACGCAACCAAACTCAGGTTGAGGACAGAGGGTCACACTTCTAAATAAGAATGCAATGCCACTTAAACAAATGTGACATTTCAAATCCCCATTTACTCAATACATCTATACTCCTAGTACCATATTCTGTATGTCACACAGTTATGTTTTTTTAAAGACAGTTAATAATGACATATGTGGGTGTATGTGGAAACTGGACAAAGGAGAAAGGCCTGCACACTTACTCAATGCCACAAAAATGTTGAAGTCATCAACTTCAACATAAGCTTGTAAGCTACATAAATTGTTATTACCGGTGCTTATCTAGACTATAAAAATACACAATCATTTATTTTATTGTTATTTTTCACCAACATAATCCGGGTCGGCAATTTATCTTAAAGTGACAAATAATGAAATTAATTGTAGTTTAGTAAAAAGTTCAGTAGGCTAAATGTTTTTAGTGTAGTAAAATAATAAAGTGGCATAAAACGGTCATTATCGTTCTTGTACAAAAGTAGGCTTAACAACTTTTTTATTCGAGTGTTTGTCCGTTTGACTATCAGTCCTTCTAGCATGCTTCTTCTGCCCAGTACTTTATGTGGAAACCATAGATTAAAAAAAATAAAACAAGCTAGAATGAACAGTACTCAAACGGAGTCTTATGTTATTGACTTCCGGTTCTGTCGCCTGTAAGGCAGAGTCGAGGGCTTAAAAACAAGCATCACAATACTGCCGCCTGTAAGGCAGAGTCGAGGGCTTAAAAACAAGCATCACAGTTCTTCCTTCCTCATAGACTGTAAATGATTTCTCGCTAGTCGTGTTGAATTGGTAGGTTGCAACTACGACAGCGTTCCTAAAGGGCATAAACCCTAACATTAAAACAGGAACATTTCTACACGTACACGTGTTTGTTTCTATTTGTTTTCCAGCAACACTTCGTTAAATGTAACTTTAAATTTGTCTTCCGTGTTTTGAAAAAGGACAGTGGTCATTGTACTGTTACTTTAAGGTGGGCAAGCAGGTAGGGTGGAGTGCTTTCAAGTTGAGAGGTAGACTACAGTTTATTACACTGTAATTTATCTGTAGAAATGAATAGCGTGTCCTCTGTAGTCTCTTTATTGCATTATATTTGATGTTTTTCTTTTGTTTTGTTTTTTCACAACAGCTTTTTAACACCATGGACAAAGACACTGTGCTGACTCACATCCTGAAGCCGAAGGGCATGTCGACACTCCTTGGTGGGGAACTGCCTCTAAATGTGATAAACAACAATGGGTACATACCCCTGCTGACTTCTGAAGCTCAGACAGCAGAAAGAAATGTGGAAGGAAACTTGCCCTCCCTCAGTAATGCCATCCTGACTGCTCTGTCAGGTAAGGTCAAAACCGTGTCACTGGTTGGTCCTGAAGGATCAGGTAAAACCACAGCTCTGCAGAAGCTTGTACTGGACTGGGCACAAGGTCAACACCTTCAAAACTTTACTGCTGTTTTTCACTTCCAGTTCAGGGAGTTGAATAACATGAATTGGCCACTTTCCTTGGAGACGGTATTGTTGCACCATCATGGTCTCATCGAGCATGATTCATTACCCTTAGTCCTGCAAAATCCACAGGATGTGTTGTTTGTTTTCGATGATCTGGATGATTTTAAACAGAGCCTGGACCCCACAACCCAAACACTCTGCTCTGACCCTTCTCAGGCAGCGTCACTGTCCTGCTTAGTGGCCAGCTTGCTTCATGGGTCACTGCTGAAAGGAGCTGCCTTTGTGGTCGCCACCAGGACAACTGGATTCCTAAGGTTTCTTGATGGTACTCAGGTAGAAGTATTGGGGTTTCTAAAGCCACAAAGAGAGGCCTACTTTCAAGGATTCTTTACTGACCCAGGTGTTGCCAACAAAGCACTTCAGCACATGGAAAGGACTCTAGGCTTTTATGATGTCTCTGCCACCCCAAGATTTTGTTGGACAGTTTGTTCTACCTACAAATCCCTGATGGATGCTGCAGCAAAACTTCCTGAAACAATATCTCAGCTGTATGTAGACATCCTGGTCAACCTGATTCAGATGCTGTCTCTGAGCCAGAACTATAATAAAGAACTAGTGTTGGCCCTTGGCAGGATGGCATCTCACTGCTCTGTCGATCAACATTCGAGCTGTAACAAAGAGGAAATGGATGCCTTTGGTTTTCAGCAGCTTCTCAACTCAGTTGGAGTTTTCTTACAAGTAGATGGAGAGCGTTCAAGTAGACCGGTCTTCACCTTCCGCTCTCAAATGATGCAGGAGTTCCTCTTGGCCTTGTCTTTCTTTTTTGACAAGTCAATGCCTAAGAGTGCGGAAAGTGTGTTAGAAAAGCACAAAGGTGCCAACTTTCTAGATATGTTCTTGTCAGCGCTCTCAGAGCCGACTCAGTGTAGACCTCTGGAGACCCTGATCGGCAGATTTGACCCAGATCAGATCATGGATTTCAAGAGTTGGTTCAAAAGCAGCTCAGCGATGACCCTGAAGGGATGCTATAGAGACAAGCACCAGCGCTGCTTCCATCTGCTGCATCAGGCTCAAAGTGACAGTTTGGTGAAAGAGATTGTCACAGACTCAGCACATCTAGGTATCAGCTACAGAGACCTGAGCCTCCAGGACTGTGTGGCTCTGAATTATGTCATTACGTGCCTCGGTGAGATGAAGCAGTTGAATCTGTATCTCACGAGAAATTTGACCGAAGAGAAAGCAGAGAGGTTGGCTCCAGCTATGAGCTTGTCTCATAATATAAAGTAAGTCATGCCAAAAATTCAAGTGTAGAAATAATTCCGTTCATGAAGAGTTGTTGCAATACCAATACCCGTTTTGTAAATGTCAGTGATAAAGCATCAAATTTATTGGGTATCAACAAGTCCGACAATATCAGCAATGTGCTGCCATTGGCCAATTCTCAAGTCTATGAACATTGGTGTCACAAAGTAAAAGAGCACCTCTTTTTCATGTGTTCAATATGCAGATCATGTGTACGATCTATGTTTTATGTCCAACAGCCTGTCAGACTGCTCCTTGAGTACTGGAGCTGTCCTTCATCTGGCTTCAGCTCTCAGCAGAGGGCTCACCACGGATCTGAATCTCTCTAACAGCCACTTGGGAGATGAAAAGTTAAAAGTCCTCAGCGCTGGTCTCAGAGACTCCAAGCTGCACAATTTAAAGTAAATTTTTTAAAGGCTTACTTTAGTTTACAGACAATTCTCCAAGGCAAAACTCACTCACCCACTTCAGTTATTAAGTTCTTCATTTTTCCCCACTTTTGATTGACTTAGTATTCAAGTATGCAGCCTGACAGAGGCGAGCTGTGAAGATCTGGTTTCGGTCCTGACTTCAGGCACCTCTCAGCTGTGTGTGTTGAACCTCCGATGGAATGCGATCGGGGATCAGGGCTTAATGAAACTGTGCAAAGCCCTGCAGAGTCCTCACTGCAAACTACAGCAGCTCGTGTAAGTACAATTTCTTTTACGGTCTTTTTTTTTTTGACAGAGCTGTCTATGTTTATACATCAGTTTGCTTTTCATATGAAGAATGAACTTGTTTTGTTTGTTTAAAGCCTACAAGCAAACGAGCTAACTGTTACATCCATGGAAGCTTTGTCTGCGGCTTTGTGTTCTGGCCAATCAGAGATGAGGAAGGTGGACCTGACAAACAACACAATTGGCGACGCTGGAGTTGAGGCCTTGTGCAAATCCCTGCAACATCCACTCTGTAAACTGCAGAGCCTCAAGTAAGTGTGCAACCAAAGATTTAATTAATATGTTTTCATTTAGAAGGTTTCTGAAAACACCAAATTTTAATCATTGCCTTAGCAAAAAAAAATCCTGAATGGGAGTGATGAATCAAACATTCACATCCACTTTACTGCCATCTGTGACCTTTTCTTTTTCTCAAATTCTAGTTTCTTTGATAGTCAGTTAACTGGTGCGTGCTGCTCTCATTTAATGGAAGCCTTGATGTCAGAGAACTGTTCTCTGACTGAGCTGGAGCTGACTGTGAATGATTTGGGCCAGGAGGGGGCACTGTTGCTCTGCAAAGCCCTCAGCAAACCTGGATGTCCAATAGAAACACTCGGGTAGAGTCACATGTTTTAACAATCCGCCAAAGTATCACCTTTAACAAATATTTGTTGATATTCAGACTTCTTCATCTGTGCTTGTTTTGTTGCCGCCTACAGTTTGAAACGATGTGAGTTAACAGAGTTGGTCTTCAAAGACCTGGGCTCCGTGCTGACGAGTGGAACGTCTAAACTCAAGTCTCTGGTTGTGGGTATTAATAAAGTAGGAGACCGAGGGGTTAAACATCTTTTGGATGCAGTTGCACATCCAAACTGTCTGTTGGAGGAACTTGAGTGAGTTGACCAAAAAACACAATTTACTTATATATTTTTTCCACCACAACCTTGAAGTGTCCACTCAATTCAACTCTGGTTTACTCTCTTTTTTGGCAGTGTTGAAATGACAGATCTTACTGATGCCTGTGTGGAGGACGTGTGTGCTGCCATACGAGCCAGTAAGACTTTGAAGAGCTTGGAACTAAGAAACAACTCACTGACTGACGCGTCTGTCCCAGCCCTAGTTCAGGTCATGCAGGACAGCCCCAACATGCTGGAGATGTGGTAAGCCTGGTTCCCTTCACTCAATGACAAACTATAACGAGCCAGTGCTCTTTACATAGTTTAATAAGCACAAGAAGAAAAAACAGTTCAACCATCAATCTAAACTGCTGCTTTTGTCTTTTTCAGCCTGAAGTACAACGACTTCAGTGAAGACGTTTTTGATATGTTGGAAGAGTGTAATAGAATAAGATACTGAAGAAACCTGACGATGACCTGAAAAACTGTCCTTACAGCTAAAAGGAGAAGAACATAGATGATTTTTCTGTTGGTCAAAAATGGATTAGAGATTGGTGAAAAACTTAAATTTTCAAGCAAAATTGGCTCTGATTGTAGCTTTGTAGATTTGATTAAAAAAAACACTGATAAATCCACCTTGAAAGAAAGTAAAGATTTGTTGTACGGATTTCTGTGCCTTATGTAGAGACCAGACAGTGGATAGAGCCGAAATCAGGGAATGACGTGCAGGAATGGAGCCAGAAATTGGATTCGAACATGGGCCGTCCACTTGGAGGAGTACAGCCTCCGCACATGGGGCGCACACACTAACCATACCTGCACCCAGTGAAATCCACCTTTATTCTGTTTGCAGTTGATAATGAATGGAGGAAAACCTTTATTGCTACTGGGGGAATTTGTCTTGCACTGAGAGCCTTAAACACCATACAAACAAACATTTACAGGACAGCACACATGATTACAATTTTTTTAGGAAGTATCTCCAATTAGAATCTGATACAAAAAAAATCCAATACTTAATCCTTGTCTAAAAACAACAATTGAATGTTAGGCCTTGTATTGTTTAAGACTGTAGGGAATCTTGGTGTCGTTGTGGAAGCCCTGAGTTCCAAACGTGTATGCATTGCAGCTGCATCTACAAAACGTGAACTTCTCATGCAGTATGTGTACGAGTGAGACATAGTGCTTCAATAAAACATTGTACCTTGAACTTATGACCCTCTTACCCACTACATATGTCTTAGTTCATGGTAAACGAGTTGAATATTCCTTATAAAAATGGTTGCCTTAGAGATCCAAAAGCCAATATATGAGACGTGCTTATCAACCTGAGGAGCTCTGCTGTTCTCACTTTGAATAGTAGTTTTATTTAATTGTGGATTCCAACATGCAGTATTGCATAACCAACAGTAAAATTACATATTCATGCTTTGTTAATTATTTTCATAGTTGTTTCCCTATACTTTAATGCTAAGTCTTTATACCACATTTTGACAAAATGCACTAGCTTCCTGTGTTTTACTTAGTTATTTCTGTACCTTCACCACAGGCTCAGTAGATGTGGTTTTTTTTTTACCGCTGTGCAATGGATTGTGGGTAAAGGTAGCCAAAAAAAAGCATACTGGCTTGTACACGGCAAAATGTGACCTAATTAAGTAGGACATCCTGGTATTTTAGGCAAACATATACCAGAACATACTAAATCTGCTCTGACATAAAAGTATGGACATGAAATGCAGCCTTAAATTACAAAAGACACTTCAACAAGATTAATAAGAAAACTCTGTCTACTACTGTTTTTTAATAATGCAAGGGTAAAATAACTCAAGTCTCAGAATGACTAGGAGAAACTTTTTTTTGTCTTTAGAAGACTTAGTTATTTTAATAGTTTACAGCTTATCAGACCGGCTGCAGTTTTTTCAGAACACAGCTGATTTCATGAAAAAAAAATGAACACATCACCAGCCCTAGCATCACAGTGTTGCACTGATTCTTTAGTTTTGATCTAATTACAAATAAATGTGAGGGGTCATGATACATTTCTTGAATGATGCTCTGTCGTGTGAGCCTTTCCGCTCTCTTGAGATCATCTGCAGCAGGTTTGCTTGGCGTGCCCAGAGTTGGAACCAAACATTAAGGGGCAGTTTTTTTTTTTTTGTTTTTTTTTTAAACTTCAGGAACACTTAAGGTCAGACCATACCTGTTCTCTTTTGTTTTCTTTTAAATCAAGGCCATCATTTTGAAGTTAAATGGGATACATGTTTATACCTTTTGCACTACGTCAACCTTGTAAAGCGAGCTTGTTTATCTCTTTCCCTGTCTGATTTGTTTTTTTGCATATGCATGCCTCGTTTGTTTATGCATAGTGTATGTAAAGCACTTTGAGTTGCCTTTTCTGTGTTAAATGTTTACAAAAGAACCCTTGCACTTCCATAATAAAGTAAAGATATCACACTTTCCTCACTGCAATTGATACATTAATGTTTTATTAAGAAATCTTTGGCATTTCAAGACATTTTTGTAGTATATTCTGAAAGGCAGATGAAGTGATTTGTTTTACAGCTTTAGAATATATTACCAGTTTCACTAATAAAATCTATTTACATGTACAAAATTACTCGTGACAGAAACACATTTGCAGCTATTTAAATTTGGAATGCACACACACAAATACATACACACGCGCACACACACACACACACACACACACACACACACACAGCGAGGTGCAGACAAGGTGCACACATTCTTCTGTCTACTCCTGTAAGCAATAAGCAGGTGTAAACGTCACACAGTGTAAACCTGACTCAGTAAGACAAAGCTAAGTCTGTATTCAACAAATGGAGTGTGTCTGTATTGAAGTCCGTTTGAACAACTCAGGAAATCTTTTTCAAGTGACAAGAAAAGTTTCAAATCTTTTCATGTGGTGAGTCACACAGGCACTCTGGAAATGAATAAAGCCACGCTTGGAGAGAACATCTGCCCATGAGACTCAGTGGTTATGAGTGTCTCCATTAAGGCTACCAGTGTGATTGTCGTCCTTTGGCTTTAGGGTCTGGTTGGGAGTTTTGCCTTTCGTCTCCTCGTCTGAGCTGCTCTCAATGTCACTTCTGTCATCTTTGGAAACCTGTTTAATGAATCGCAGAGGGAAATGTTGACTATCAACTGGAATAATAACGAGGATAAGAGTCTAAAAGACATTCTAATATGCTCACGATGACTATGCTAACATCTGTAATTATGACCTGCTTACAGATGTTATCATAGTCATTTAATTTAGGGTCTCAAGCATTACAAAATTTAACCCAAGGGGAACATCAATGTCTGTACCAAATAAAACTGAAACCTGTCCAATATGTGTGAAGTCATATCAACCCAAACCCCAAATTTAAACCTGCTGATTATGCTGGAGGGAACGCCAGTGGGAGCCTTCATCTAATAACAACAAATATCTGTGTTCAAAATCTTAGAGGGACACGGATGTTATTCAGTGAAGTGACAATTTTGACCTATGGGACCGGGTGGTGTAAGATGATAGTCAGGAGATCAATCGAGTTCAGCTGTATCCCCGGGGGGAGCATCAACGTTTGTTCGTGGTAACACATCTAAGAGTTGTCAAAGCATTTCACAAAACCAAAAAAAAAAAAAAGGAAAATTCACAGTAGCTCTAGAGTAAATGTAAAAGGATCCCAAAAGTCAAGTTGAGGGCCATCCTTTGGTGACTGGACATTTCATGGCAACCCATTTAAAAGTTGTCGAGATATTCAGAGTGTGGAACATGAAACTATTTCGCAAACTAACAACATACGGTCAAACTTACCTTTCCCTTGAATATGGCTTTGATGGCAATACGAGCGACGAGGTAGAACCAGATTATGTGAAGAACCTGCAGCACCAACAGCAGGCCATTGAGCAGCCACCAGGCTTGGTACGGCCCGACGATCTCCCAACTCTCAATCAGAACACTGTATACAACCCTGAAAGAAATACAGACACACTCAACGGTTAATGCTCCTCTCGGTTTATAATTTTTCTCACTTTTTGTCAAGAAACTAACCAAGTTAAAAGAGGTTTAAAGACATACATCAGAAAGAGTATGTCAATAGGGCACAAAAATGAGCCCTGTTAAGTCTCACCAGAATGGGTAGATGACAAGCCGGGTCAAGAAAAAGCTTATGCTGAACACCACAAACAGGCCATCACATAGCCTCTGGTACTTGGCGTAGTTGGCCAGCTTTGCAGCCTTTGGAAATAAAAAAGGAATTCAATCAGCGACAAAATATCCTTCCTTCATTTTTATTGTAATTTCCTGACATCACATTTTCCCACAGAATGCACGCTACTAAATTGAGCTCACACACCAACTTTTATTTGCCAAAAATACATTTCAAATTTATTTTTGTCACAGCAATGCTAATTAGAGACGCCTGCTCTTTTCTGTCAAACAGGTAGTATGTGTCAGTGACATCCCTTGAATGAGAACCGTGTGTTCTGTCAGACAGGTTATACAAGTAGCTTACAGCACAGGCAGCACTAAATAGTCCACGCTAGTATGCTCCCAGCTGTGTTTGCCTACATTTTGTACACCTATTTATGGTCAACATGAACAACGGTGCTATTAAAACTCTTCATCAAGATCGTTACCTCAAGAAAGATGTCAGATGCATCGTGCACACACATGACCAAAGTGCCAACTCTTAGCATGTTGTTGGTATAGGAGAATGTGATGAGCATGATGGTTGCTAGGTGGTGCACAAGCATGATGAAGAAATCCTGTCATCAGTGAAATGAAGAGAGATGACAGAAAGAGAGAGAGAGAGAGAGACATGGTTAAGGGGGGGTTAAATTACAAGTATGTAAAAACACCTGCGGCAAACAGAACCACTGAGATGAAGCAGAAAAATCCTCATCGCTAACCTTTGTGCATTCATTAAGACTATCAGCTACAACACCAACAGAAAGGCTTGTATGAATACCTGGATGACAAGAAGCTATTAATCAGGCTCATTGTAAATGTATGTGGTGAAGTAGCAGTTAATTGTCTAACCTGTTTTGCAAGAACGTAAAGCAATAATTCATTCAGACGGTACACATAATGGTGTGAGAGTTGAACTTATAAACACGCCTTCCGAAAAGGTACACAAAAATGGATATGACATGATATGAATACAAAAAAGCAGGCAAAGCTGTCACACTACAGGGTAAGAAGTGTTCAGGAGGGCCATTGAGAGACAGCACAAAAGTCTAGCTGTTGTTGACTCACCTTACGCTTAATATCTATGAATTGGGAAAACATCAGAGACCAGTAGAAGGCCAGCTCAGCTACATAGTAGTTGTACTGTCCAGGGCTCATATTCTTTGGGAGGGAATCAAGCAAAAAACATCTTTAACAAACATGAAGCTCCACTGGTAGTATGGTGCTGAACAGAAAAGTCATAATATAGACAGCTTATTGTGATTATACCAACCTGAAATGGATAGTTGTACCAACACTGTCGGGTATCCCACATCCAAGGAGACTAACAGAAACAGATACAACATGCCTGATTAGACTGACCGCTCCAATATGCAACACTTAATGCAAGCAGTACTGCAAAAAAAAAAAAAAAAGCATATTGTATGCCAAGTCAACTCACCACCCACAAATGGCGAATGGCATAGATGAAAATCCCCAGGTAAAATGTAAACCGCCACCTGGGGAAAAAGACAAAAGCAGAATGAGGAAAACAGAAAAAAAACATGTTTACTGTTTGAAAAACAAGATTAAGAGTCTACAGTTATGCTCACACAATGTTCAGGCTGTTCCTGGGCACAGCAGTGATTTTAGCTGCATGCTGTCAGTATGATAGCAGAATTAGTGAAACAGAAAAACATGTTCTTTTCTTGAAAACAACATTCAGTGGCCATGATGATGTTAACTATCTTTCAGAGGCTATAGTAATGCTAACCATCTTACAGGCTCTGGCTTTCTGTCGATCCTGTCGTTTTAGTGATACTTGTGACAAGATCAGTTTCGTTGTTCAGCCTGTGTTGAGCTGTGCTAAGTGATAGCGAAAGCTAAAAAAAAAATAATTAAACACAAAAAAAGCAACTGGACTAAAGTGGCCAAACACAATTCGCTCACATGACGATGCTAACTTTTGTATCATTCATTAATTTAACTGCTAGCATTTGTTAAAAGATTTACACATGCTAGCAGAAACATCACACTCAAAACCACAAAACTTGACCTCATTATGGAATTTAAGGAACAACTCAGTTGCTAGTGCTAAAGGTTTATCCTGTAAGTATCATGAATGCATGTTCAGAACATCTTGTCCAATAGTTGTTGAGAGAGTTTTGTTGACTAGCAAACAAACACATAAAATGTACTGCAGTGCAGACACATCTCCGCTCATCACATAGTGCTGTCCCACAAAGCAGTTTCGTAGGAACCTACATGCTCTCACAGAACTTTTTCTGCGCACTGGGCCGGTCTTGGTTCCGACGAACACGAAACCATCTCTGTATTTTGCGCACGTCCCAGTCCAGCTGCTTGGAGAGACCGTCCAGTTGACTCGTGTCGGGACACTGCAAAGAGGACCAAAAGAAATCACTTGGTTTTCATAGTCTCTACTCTAAAAAACAAGAAATACTTGTAGGTATGACACACCACATTAAGTATTGACTAAATGTATCATTATGCCTGTGGTGGGGTAGTCCAGTGCAGAAACATCTGTAATCCAGCATACAGGGGAACATTTACTGGACTTTGAGCACAATCATAGTCTTTATGTACCGTTTTGGATCGAAACACCTTCTCCAGGACATCGTTGGATTGAGCTCGCCGAGGCACTCCCGCCTGAATCTGAAGTATGTGGGCACAGGGTTTGGCCACTAGCCTGTATACACACAGACAGAGGCAGCAAAAAAAAAAAGAGAGAGAGAGAGGGCAGGGAGGGGACACAGAGATGGTGTTGTATTAATAAAGAGATTCAGAAAAATAGAGACACAGATGGAGAAGTTAAGCACTTTGCACAGGCTGAAGGAGCACATTAACCATTAGCTTAATTGGCCTCGCTGAAATGAACTGTGTAGCTTCAGCAGTTTTTTTTTTCCCACACAGCTATATGTGACATGCATGTGTGTAAGGGATACAATAGAGCCTATAGGGGAGACACAGAAGGAATCCTGGGGAATGTGGCACCTATTCCAAACACAGCGTGATGACCTGTCATGTGAGAGGGTGGGAGTGTGAGGAAAATTAGGAGGGATTCCACACACACACTCAAAAAAAAAAAAAAAAAAAAAAAACCTGATGTGGGTCACAAGATCATCAGTGCTCAGACTTGTAACAATGTATTAGGTCTCAATCTTACAAAATAAACCCACTTATCTGGTGTAGTTTTTCCCAACATTAGAAAAGACTGAATGATTAGGAGTACAGACTGGACTTTGGTCGACCCTCTCATTGGTGATTTGACTCTAAAAGGAGGCACTGCAAGGAAAGTCAGGGCCTGTGACAAAGCTACACTTTTCTGAGTCCACAAAAGTCTCAGTTTCCAGTGACAGGTAAGAAACTGTGGGACATTCAGATGCCAGTTCTGTCAAACCACTGCAGGACACATTCTCTGACAGCAAACTAGCATTACTCTGCAAGGTAAACTGGTGTCTCAAGCTGGTTTGGAGTTATATTTCACCACAAAGGAATGCAGAAAACAACAACAGTGACAAAACCTTCACATCGATAAAGACATAGAAATAGATTCGTGTTAACTGTCTGGAGCTGAGGCAGCCCCATTCATGTATTAATCCAAAAAAAAGAAAAAAGGGATAGGCCTATGTCTGATCAAATCAAGGAAGTTGCTTCAATATATTTACATGATTTCATTAAAACTTACTTTGTTACTGTGACAAAATGTGGCTACAGAAAAGAAGCTCTCTCTAGCTTCCAGATATTTTGTTGTGGTCAAAAAAAAAAAAAAATGAGTCATGCTTTAGGATTGTAGGCTATTGTTGCACACCTATTTATGTAGCTTTGCTTGTTTTGTTTTTTTCTGCCCTCTGTGCCACACACGGCAGAAACTCCAAAACTGTGCGCTCACATGGATCACGCAGGATGAGGAAACTGGTGAAGTCAACAACAAACGAGGATCTAGTTTACCTTTCAAAAAGCAGCCTTAATAGAAAAACTCCAATGGCCAGAGGCAAGGCGATGAGCATGTGTTTAAATCGTGGATACTCCACACCAGGTGGTGGATTCTCCAGGTCCGCCCATGAGACATTTTCGGGAAGCCAAAACCTCTCACTCCAAAGCCAGTCTGAGATAGAGGAAGTCATCGGGGTGCTGGGTAATACAAATCAGGAGCAGCAGAGTACCGCAGCTACGAAGGCAGACCGGGAAACTTACTTTTCGCACATCTGGTTGTGGCTTAACTCACCGATACCCGACTGCAGTGAAGTTGCCACCTCCTACCCTGGCTACACTACCTTGCTGAGTGTCACTCCTGGTTAACGGGTTAGACTAAAACTGCACAGACCGCTAGGTTGACACGTAATGCCGAAAGACAACGCCCACCAGCACACTGTTGATTGGGCAACTTTCAATGAAGTTTTTCCGCATCAAGAATGAACTTGCTGCTTCGTCACAGCCCGTGAGACAACCTCTCCTCCTGCTGCACTTTTTTTTCCCTTTTTTTTTTTTGTCGAGAAAGTGGAGAATTTGGGGTGTTTGTGGCTCAGCTCGGATTTGGGTTCAACAAGCACATTTCTAATGGAAGCTCTGTTTTCATTGCAGAACTGTTTAATGCATTGCAGAACTGTTTAATGCATTGCAGAACTGTTTATGGGCAGGAGATACATTCAAACAAAGTGATGTTTTTGTTTTCATTCAGCATCTGTGCTTGTGGCTCTAAGAGGAAGTCAATCAAAAAGCTCGCCCCTGAACTCATTAACTAACTGATTTTTATCTGTCTTCTTGTTCAGAGTTGGATGACAGATATTGTGAAGTCAAGTTTTGCTTGGGGTTCCTGGGCATGCTGGACTCGAGGGAAGAATGAAATAGCAGATCCCAGAGGCAACCCTTAAGAAAAGAGAAGTAGTTGTGAAAGTATCCCTGGAAAGAGTGTTAAAAATGAATGGCAGGGTTTGTTATGGGGAAAAAGGAGGCCAAAGGGAGGCCCTGTTTTTTTTTTTTTTTTTTTCATCCTCAGATTAAAGAAAGTTAGTTCAGGAACACGAAGAGACTCTGTTAAAATGTGCAGATTAAGGCTTGGACATATGGGTTAAAGCATTACTTGTGCATCAAAGGGAAGCACCCATACTGGACTCTGTGACTGTGGACACCCTGACCTGAAACAATGTGTCAAATATTACAGAAAGGGAAACTTGGTTTAAGACATTCTCAGAACTGGGAGGATAATCATTTTCAATTAAACCTTTCTTTGGCCAACATGGCAACCACCAACTTGACCATGAGAGCAGTGTTACAGTTCCTGCATGATTCATGGCTGTATGTGAGGATATGAAACGTGATTGTGTCGGTTAAGTTTTGTCCTGTGAAGGGTTGTAATACGCCTAAAATCACAAGAAGTTAGTCTTGGCTTGCGTCAGCCTTCTATGACTTCAACAAACACAAGCTAACTACACCCCCAGTCTGCAATTAACACTAAACAACATTTGATTATGGCTTAGTTATCAAATTAACACTAGTGTATGTTGGAGTTCTGCCAGTATAACTTAAGTTACAGCAGCTGATGTCCTTGAACTTATATTAGGCAATCATTAAAAGAAAAAACAAGTCCTGGAAACCATCCGGTAACATGTTTAACACCCCCAGCTATAGCCTAGCTTAGCTAACTAGCATGTTTGAAGAATTTCAGACACTGAAGTCATTTTCCCATTTTCTTTAGAGCATGTTAAAATTCCCTTCTATCCTAAAAGCTAAGTTAATATGTCTATGTGAACTTCCACGGCCTGGCAAATTATATTTCGGAATTATTCACTCTTTTGCCACCTTACGGCTCCCACCTTGCTTAGACAAATGCAGGAACCATGCAGTAAATATAGGCTTCTTGCATTAATGCAAAACGGCCATTTAACACAGGTCAACACAACTCTGATAAATGTATTATATTCTTCAGGACTAACTGTTGTGTTCGATTGCATTAGTTTAATATATGTGTACCAAATAAACTGAGTATATGCCTATAGAGTTTGAATTGTGCCTGTATTTCCATTCAGAATAACAGCCAACTTGCAGATTTTTACAACAACATAAATCCTGTTCACAGGCGTTTGATATACAGCGGATTTTAAATCTGCTGACTAGAAAGAAGTGATTCACTGTAAGTGTCACTGTATGTGTTAGTCATGATCACACTGATTTTTGTTCCAGAGCTTTATGTGCAGGCAGTTAAATCTCAGACCTGTTATCATGGATTTGACCTTCAATGGTCTATAAAGAGAGCACTTATTGCGTGCTCTTTAAGAGTCTTAATCCCTTAACTGAGGATAGGCTATTTAGTGTTTTCTGGAGTGGGATCACAGTCACACACACCCCTGAGATACCAGGATCCAGTTTGATTGTAAATATTTTTATTGAAAACAAGTAGGCTGTTGGAAGGTTGATTATTGACTGGAAATATGTCAATGATTTGCAGCTGGAATTTGTAAACCATTTGCTCATTACCAGCCCATGCCAACTGAGGATAAGGCATTGGGCTGGAATTGGGCCACACAGCAAAATTAAGAAAGCCATTGAGATTTAATCAATTGCGTCCTACATTTCACTCCCTTTCACTTTGTTTTTAGTAAACCCTGAAGTGTGTTACATTTTTGCCTCCTTAGATGTTTTTGCTATTAGATAGATGCACACAGATAGCTGAAAACATCCCAGAGGTTATGCACTATTGCAGCCAGCTGGGTGACTTTCTCCTCTTTACAATAACAGGTTTGCACTGTGAGAGAAGAATAGAGCGTTCTTTTATTACAACCTCTCTGTATGGGTTCGTGCTTATCTGGAAACAAATGTTTTACACAGCCAAATAAACTTCTATCATTAAGCCTGTGACAGAAACATAAAGTAGATAATGTATAATATGGCCATTAAGGATTTTCAATTGCACCGCTGTAAATCAGAAGTTGAGCTGATGAAATATTAATAGAGGATTAATACATTAGAAAAAAATACATTTCTCAAGTTAGTAAGTAGGTTAAGCCACAGGAACAACTTCCTGTACATTTAAAAAAAAAGAAAAAAAAAAGAGTTAAAACAGAAAAAAATAAAATGGAAGAATATGCTGAAGTGAAACACACAAACATCAACAACAACAAACCTAAAGGGGACTCAGACTAAGTGAAAGTATTAAGTTAAGTCTGAGTTAACTCGTATAAATGTTCTCTAAACTATGATCTTCTTTCTCAGTTTATCAAACCTGCAAGGTCATTTGTGGAATACTTCATACATTATTCAAGGAATTTCTGATGCAACACAAGAAGTTATGAAACCTTGTGACCAGCTTGCATTTTTATTTACTTATGTAGAAAAAAGGTACATGATACGAGAGTGACGTGCTTTTAATTTAGGTCAAAGTTTTTTTGCATTATCATAAGTATCCCTCCTCCTACGCAACCTGCTGTGTTTTACATTCAAGTCAAATTTAATTTGCCTAATCAAAACTGTCATGTTAAAGTTAAAACATGTCCTCACCCTGCTGGACAACATTTAGATCTCACCCTGAAGACTAATGGAGATGGAGGAGATGAATGCAAAACATACATGACACCCCCTCCCACACACACACACACACACACACACACACACACACACACACACACACACACACACACCCAACCAAGTTGTTTCATCATGTAGATTTTCACATCATTACCAACTGACAAGGGAACAGCACAGCCCCCTAAACAAAACCTCTCTGTGTGAGCATGCAGCTGCAGCTTCCGAGATGCCCGACTCGGATGCATGACCTACAGTGTAGGGGCAGGGGACTTCAACCACAGAAAGGGGGGGGGGGTCGTATGTTTCAATACAATCTTCCTACTACCTCGAGAGCAGCATTTTAACCCCTCTTGGCATTTGTCAACTAACCTCAACCTGATTTTCTTTTCTTGCTTGCTTCTGTGAAATTTTAGCATGCAGCTCCAAAAAGCAGCATCTGTCATCCCCCTCGGCGTCCCCCTCCTCACTTGCTTGGACTGTTCCATTTCGCATGTGAAAAAATCTGATAGTTGGAGAAGAGTTCTTCATGTCAGGGACTGCTGTAGGCTCAGCACACAGAGAACTGACGCTCCTGGATCACTTGAGGTATTATTATCTTGGAAATTTCATTCAATTTTTGGTGTATTTTCTGTGAACTAACCCTCAGAGGGACATTTATCCACAGCTTTGTGGCTTCTTCTTTCAAAATAACTTGTTGTGTTTATAGATGAGCATGCATTTTTCTGTTTATCTCGAAACATTTTCAAAGCCATATTCAAAACAAAAGCATCAACAGTCTAAATGATTCAATTCAGTTCTGTTTTTTAAAAAATATTTATTTATCTACTTTAGCTTTTGCTTTATTTTGTTGTAAATATGTGGTATTATACCTTATTGTCTCTCACAGATAAGCAAATGGATGAGAAAGAGCTGAGTGACCCCCTGAATAACTTATCACTTATCAGAGGTAATGTAACAGGGTTATTTTATTTCTCTAATCATGGACAGACTTAAATTCTGCTCAATGACTTTGCATTGTTTTGCTGTTTTAATGGCTTTTACCTGACACGACAGATCTAACCCACTGACGATGAGAGAGAGAGAGAGAGAGAGAGAGAGCGAGAGAGAGAAAAGCATGAGTCACACTAGATGAGAGTTTTGGTAGCTATTAGGGGCAGTTGGCTGGCTTCAGAGCTTACAGTGCTGTAGATGGCCTTGTTTTAGAGGCTGATGTCTCTAGTGTCAACGGCTTATTAGACGATGGAGTCCCTTTGCACAGCGGGCTCATCAGCTGACTGATGTGCCATATAGAGCTGCTCTTTAGAGGAGAAAGCTGGGGATTGTGCTGGGATTTTGATGTGAACTTAAAAATCAACAGGGGCACTCATGTCAACATGTGAAAACAAATCAGTGAGCGAATCAATTTTGCACGATGAATTCATTTGCAATGCCACTCTGCACAGTGTACAGGATGCACAAAGCAAACAGTGTCCTCGCAACAAAGGTGTCTCAGTCATTTTAGGATGATGGGGACATTTCCTAGTTTCAGTAGCAGACAGCGTGTTCTGTAGCTGTAAACAGAGACACGGCAGTTTGATAAGCACAAACTTGCTAAATACTGGGGACATTCAGTGCGAGCAGTGCTAACCCTCTGAATACAGTTTGAGAATGCTGTCACATTCAATGGAAAGGAAACCAACAGCGGGGAAAGATAGAGCATGATGGCTCTAGCCTTCAGCACTTGAGCTAAAAAAAGACCTTCTCCTAGTTTTTTTTTTTCTCCCGTCACTTGAGGCAGTGTGATGCCGAATATCCCCGACTAGTCAGAGTGGTATTTTTACCCACATTCTAATCCCATCATTACTTTGTAGGGTGTCACACTCTAAGACTATACTAAGACTTAGCATAATGTCTGTAACAACTAATGTTACTAAAGATAACACTTTGAACGCACTTGTCTAAATGACTCTTGTTATTCTGCCCTCTCGAGGCGGACATTAATCTCTCACACAAACTGAACACAGACATCCCTACATAAAGTTAGCCCACTCACATTCTGACTCTCACTCATACATATGCATGCTTATGGCATCACACAACCCTCACACACACATGCAGGACTGAGCACGGTGAGCCCAGTCTTTGTCCGACATGCAGCGGGGTGGTCATGTGCTTGAGTCAGAGGGTGCCACCAGCCTCCTCCATGCAGCACTTGCTTCATAGCCTTTAATTTTTAGTAGCATTCATCATTGCCACAAGTATGCATGTGTGTGTATTTGTGTTCTTGCAGCAGTGAGTGCCAGACCCAATGAAATCACAGTTTTCATGATAAATAAGTCTCGGTCCTCTTATGTCGCCTTTTATGGCACTTACGCTTGACCTGTCCCGACTCTTGTTTTCCCCTCTGCCAAATGCTCGGCCTCAGATGAGGTCATCCCTTTTTCCTAGTCATGCTAGATTAGGGGATCAAAATATTCCCTGTGCATTGCAAAGCCCAAAGTATTTGCAGAGTGTTTCCACTTCTAGGAAAACACAACAGACCCTTGACAACCTTGGCTAGTTCGTTCCCTTTGTTTATTGTTTACAGAGACTAGCAGTGGTTAACAAGCAGTGTGCATGTGTCAGAGGCTCCTGTGTGGCTCGGTGAATCGCCTATTATGAAGGAACGCTTAGATAGAAAATGCAGATAAGGCAGCTGTGCCTATTTCTGGGTTAGTAATTAGTTTATGTAATAGTCCCATTTGGATATCTTGGGAAATCATGGTGTATGTCAGCCCTGGTTAAATATTTGGGACTGAAGCACAGTTATTGTGTTGGAGCTTTTTAGCTGTACTTCTAATTTTAAAGTTTTGAATTGCCATCAGTACTGCCTGATGTTTTATATTGATAGTTGTAATGTCTCTATTTGCACTGCAATGACTCTGCAGGCTTACAAGAGAATTAATCCTAACAGCAAGATACTTTTTTTTTTAATGTTAGGAGAAAAACTAAATTCTAATTTGGATGATCATTTCTTTTCTGTATTTCATCATCAGATGACTTGACCAGGTCAAACATGGGTTCATCTGGTGAATCAGAAAAGATTATCCAGCGCTTGAATGATGAACTCCGAGGAGCCCAGGAGCTAGCTAACACTGAGAAGCACAAAAGCATGGAGCTACAAGGTAAAAATATAAATATTGGATGTTTGATACTTCCAAATCTCTTCACCGTGCACTCTCAGACAACCACATGTTCAGAAAATAAAAGCTATCGTATATTTCAGGTATCCTGGAGGAAGAGAGAAAAGACAACAAACAACAAGCTGATGATTCTGCCAAACAGATCAAACTTCTTCAAGGTACATCTTTGTGTTTGGTTTGTGCCTACTGATAGAAATAATGTTAATATTTCTAATCAAAACACTGATTCTGCTTTTAACAGGCCAGCTGCGACAGCTCCAAGATGAAACTGAAGCTCTCAGAGAGCAGATAGATGTCTCCTCCAGTTCACACGATGAGCTACAAAGAGCACGCGATGAGGTGAAGGCGCTGAAACGTGCCCTTGAGGCATCTACTGCTGAGCGAGACCGTGATGTTGCCGCCATCCAGACTAATCTGTCAACTGTGTCCAAGGACCTGGACAAGTGGCGTCAGACTGCAAACAGATACGAGCATGAGATTGACAACCTACAGCGCGACCTCCAGCAGCAGAGTAAACAGTGGCAGAAAACTGCAGAAATTCAAGGTACCACACAAGGCACATACACATGCTAACGGGATGCTATATTTATCTGATGCTATATTTGATCTACACGGCAGTATTTCATTTAGTCATTCACACTTTGATCTCCAAAATAATAATTAAGCTGCAGAATTGGGACTTTGCTAATTTTGACTTGGCATGTGGTTAAAAGGCTCAATAAGATGTAAGATGAAAGTAGTGCATTATACTTGAAATATAGCTCTTTTTTTCTGGCATTAAGAGATTTGTCTGCATACTTGAATGTACATTTGCATGTCAAGTCAAGCAGACAGTGTTACAGACACACAAATATACTTGAATATGATTTATTGAAGCCAATTAGGAGTAGAGCATCTGCTCTATGTTACATAAGAGCTTCTGTCTCTGCAGCCAGTGAGCTGCAGTCCATGCAGGTGGAGTGTAACGGCCTTCAGAAGGAGTGTTCTGCCCTGCGATCTGAAAAACAAGACATCGTGAACAAGCACCAGAAGGAAAAGAGCGCTCTGCAAAGTGAGTGTGCATCTCTCAGTGCTGAAAAGGAGGAACTCCTCAAGGCTCACCAGAAAGAGAAGGTCAGCCTGCAGACCGACTATGCAGCGCTGCGCTCTGAGAAAGAGGCCGTTCTGCAGAAACACAAGCAGCTGGAGAACGACCTTGCCAGGTCAGTGCACTGAGATCTCTGCTCTACGTTTGTGCTCCCTCTGTTTCCACTTCTACATATTTTGCTTTACAGCTGCATACTACAAAGCTCTCTTAGTATGATCCTTCACCTATTGAACTCGCTGTTGTTTTGTTTCTGGTAGTTCGCGTGCCCAGAATGCTGAGCTGAGCAGCAGCCTCAAAGCCCTGGAGAGATCCCAGCAGGAGTTTGAGAAGAGGCTTTCAGCCCTGCAGCTCGAGCACCAGCAGGACAGCACCAAACTGCAAACCCAACTGGACGAAGCGGACAGCCGCACCAAGACTCTGGAGAGAGAGGTATGTTCTTACAACTTTACTTGTAGGGCCGAGAATGGCTCTTTCCTCAAAGCTGACAGTGACATACTGTCACACTTTAACTTTCTTGGACTTTAATTACATATATAGTTCAATTGTAAACTGTGTAGCGATCTCCATTGATCTTGAACTTGTAGTTTTAGGATTTAAGCCCAGTACTAAGTTGCCTGATTGTCTAACTGTCCATCAGGGCTTTTGCCTAGTCAATAGCTTGCTTGTCTACATAATTGCATAACGGTAGCCAAGGTTCAGAGATTTAATAAGAATGAATCCAGGATTGGTGATCATTCAGGACAGTAGAATGTGTTCTTATACAAATACACAACTATCACACAGGCAACAGCTTTCTGTAGTCACCTTATCCTGAAGTTTTTATCCTTTCTTTGCTGTAGTGATGTGGTCTGGAACCTGTTAGTTAACCTTTTTTTAAATATCCAATGGGAATATTCAACAGGCAACCCCAAACTCCTCTTTAAACTACGGTACAAACAACATATGCAACAATTCCAATTGAAATGGCTCCACCTTGTAACCCTTGTTGACAGAGGCAAACAGTTGTCCGCTCCCAGTCAGGTTTAGCAGGCTGGATGGGGAGCAGCCTCTTGTTGTGAAAGTTACACAGGAGGGGCACTGTTGAATAGCAGAAGGCAGAGGTGAAGTCATCATTCACCACAAGTCATTTGTCTCTGTGTGTCGTTGTTCTTTTTTAGTATGAATGAAAGGGGGAAACTAAGTGCTCTCAGTGCCTTTCCAAAAAAGGTCAGACATTAATATCCTGTGTAGAGCTGTCAGATACAAAAGGACATGAGAAATATTTAACCCCCTTTTGTTTTTCGACGATACTCACAGCAGCAACCTGTGGCCCTGCAGCAGCTCCATTGTTTACCTGAGAATAAATGTAACTGAACGTGTCGTGTAATTACATGAAATTCTGAACATGTCTCTCCGCAGTATGAGGAGGCTAGGACAGAGCTGTCTGACCTTAAGGAAAAATACGAAAAGACCGAGCAGGAAAAACAGTTGCTCACCGATGAATTGGAGGGGTGCAAAGCCGACATGAAGGAAATACAGGAGAAGGGAACAAAGGTTAGTACGGATCAATCAACAGGGTTTATTTTTCTTCACAGTATCATACAAATAGTGTTGAACTTAATTTATAAAACACTGCATGTAGCGTATGAATCACATTCTTGCAAGTAAGTGACAAAAAACAGCACCATAGCCTTTATTTGCATAAGAGGCAGTAGTGTTCAGTTCTCTTAGTTTTGGAAGCTTGAGCTTTGCTTTCAATTTTGTCATGTGTATAGTCGAGTATCTGCAGCCATAAGAGCTGAATCTTTTTTAAGATTCACACCATTTTAAAAAAAAAAATCTCAGCACATCTGCTTCCCTCTACTCATCCACTGTCGTTTTTTTGACTGTTGCTTTCAGACATTGACAGCCATGTGTAACTTTGAGACTTACATAAACACCATTTACAGACTGACTGAGGGGTTTATTAATAAAAGTTACACCCGACTAAAGTATGTCCAGTTGCAGTTAATCACTATAATATCCATTCCCTTCTGTAGAGATCCCTATTGCCGCCTGTTCAAGCCATAGTCATCGGCCTTATCCTGGCTTTGCTGTATTGGTGCTTCGGCGCATTGTGGTAGGAAGGTACACATTACTTCTGTCAAGCCTGCCTACATCTATCATTCTCATTATTGTCTTTAAGATCACTGCATGACTTAATCAGGTTTTTCCTCATTCCTCAGAATGTTTACCTCGGGGGAAACTCTCAAAAATTGACATCTGAAATTACTCTAACCTCTCTAATCATGCAGCTCCAACCTCTGACATCTGTTTGTTCTGTCTTGGTGGCTAATGCTTAACAACTGTTTCTCTCAGTTAGCTTGGATGGGCTTAATCTTTACCTGAGAGAGCTAACTCGCATTCTCTGTGCTCTGCATCGACCTCATTGGCAAGCTGCCCCTGTCAAAAGCTTTGGTAATCCTTGGACGGGGTTAATTAATACGATGATGCTCATGTTTTCATTTCTCTGTGGCCTTTTATTCTTCCAGAAGCAGTGGATGATCTGGGGCCCTGTGGTCGCCGTAGCTCTAACAGCTGTGACTGCTGTTGCCGTGCTCTTCAGGACCTGAGGGCAATGTACACACACTCAAACATAAGCGAAACCCGTATTTGTCATCAGATTCCTGTGCACTGAAACTGAAAAAAAAAAAACTTGCCCTCTTATCATATCTGCACATTCAATTTGGAGGGCTCATCCTTAACACTGTAACATTTTTAAGATGCTCTATTTTAGATGACAGAGAGGTTAATAAAAGAATGTCTGTTCGTGTGTAAATCAACCACTTTGTTTGTACGTCTGTTATTTGAGAGTCGGGTTGGTTTGCTATCGTGACTTACAGGATTATCTATTAATGAATGTAAAGATACTCGACGTGTTTCATTAATTTTGGAATAAATATGATGAAAATTTAGATGGATGCCCTTAAGCTTGAACCTCCCTAAATGTAACACATCTCTGTAACTGTGAGAATAATAAAAACTGTCACAATATTGCAGCCCCCTGATGAATTGTATGCCGAATGCCCTGGGTAGCTTAGCTACTCATCAGTGGATGGTTGTGCTGGGCACTGTTCAGATTCAACTTCTTACTAAAAACCACTTTAAATGTGAAAACGGGTTCTTCAAATTAATTTTGGAGACTACCTCCAGAATGGTATTAAAGCAGGTATCCCCCCCCCTCTGTCCTGAAATCTAATTTTCAAAACTGGGATTTTTTTAATTTATTTTTTACTCCAGAATGGTGTGACTAGAAAAGAAACAGTTATGATGATGATATATCTGCTTTTTAACTTTTCTTAAATCTATTTTTTTTGCTTCTGCAACAACTGCTAGTATCAACCTTTCACCTTTTATTAACAAAGCATGATCAAAGGAACAATACCATTTTTCAGCCTTATTTTGTAGGATTGAAACATCAACAAGATGCAACATACAGGTAATAAATAATGCCAATCAACCACAGACTTTACTTTACATTACATCATTTGGTTAGAAGTCAAAGTCACTATTAGAAAACACAATCAAGTATCATTTAAATAAATCACCTCATAGCAGATTGCATGGACCTAAATGCTAAACAAGTTCCCTCTCGGGGTTCTCTGATGCTTTTATAGCATTTGCACGAGTTATATAACTTTGTGAATAATATGACAGAGGTTGACTCAGCTTGTTTTTTATTACTTATCCGTTTGTAACCTTAAATCGATTTAACATTTATAAATAATGGCTCCTAAATGTAAAGAATGATCTCAATTTGATCTGATCTTAACCTAATAAATTCAGCTTTTTTTTGGGGGGGGGGTTGCCTTTATCTGGATAGAGTAGGAAATCGGGAGTGAGTGGGGAATGACATGAGGGTAAGTAGCCACAGGCTGGACTTGAACCCGGACCACTAGCTTGAAAAACCTACATCCTCCATACATGGTGCGTGACCGATAACTGCTAGGCCATCTGCGCCCCAATAAATTCCTCTTTTAGGTTATTACATAAGCAGGTTGATTTCAGAAGCCATCTTCGTGCCTCTGTAAGATTTGTATTTCCTCTGAATCGACGGTCTGCTGAGGTAAGTTGTTGAGACAGGGAAGGGAAATGTGTTGTAAAAAATAACATTGTTAAGTTAGATCTTCTCATATCTCACAGTCCCTGTTCTTTCTCCCTTTAATAGTACCCTGTATTTCAGATGGCATTTAGAGTGGCTGATTGCAGCTGACAGCAAGATGTAGAGGGAGTGAGGTTTTCTCAGGTGAGCGCAGTGTGTGCGTCATATGCTGCATGGAAAAAGGCTGAGTGCAGCCACAGATTACACACTGGTACAATGATCACCTCCGATGTGAGGCCATAGTGTTAGTGACCCGCAATTAGATCTGTATGACAATCGTTGACCTTCGGAGGTCCTGAACCACAAAAAGATGACCAGGATATACTACACATCTCTGGTAGATGAGACTGGAGACTGGACTGTTGTGGACTTCCTGAAACAAAGCTCAGGCTTTTTATCAACATGTAAGTCAGATATATCAAAATAAATCAGCTCATCCACTTCAGAAAATCAATGAAATCTAAATATAAACACCTTTTCATTCATATCTCTCTCTTCATATAGGTAAGCTCTATTTACATCTAATGAAATGTGGCTTGTAGAATTGACAAACTTGTTAAATCTAGATAAGCTCTTGGAAAGAAGAAAGATCCTTTACTGATTTTTTTTCCCACATCAGGCACTAATAGAGAAAGTATCTTGTATTTACTCTCATTATGGCTGTTGGTGCTATTACTTGGACTGCTGTTTCTCTTTTGTTTTGTTTGTATTAGCTACGTTCTAAAAAGTGCCAAATTAAAAATCTAAGGGACATCCAACCATCTATTCACATGTTTGTCTCAATGAATGAAGAGTATACCTCGCCTGAGAGTACTGTCTGTAAATGTTTTCTGTAATTCTTTAAGGAGCCCAAATTGGTCAGAAAAAATACCAGCAAGATGGATGTCAAAGCCATTTGGCAAAAAAACAAACAAAAAAAAAGCAGCCTTAATTGTAGGGAGACAGAATGTCTCTGCATCTGTTGCTTTGATTTAGACAGTTCCTTTTTTTTGTGAGACTCTGACTAAAATTGTGATGCCAAATCTCCGTAACAGCTACACTGAGAGATCATGAAACTCAGTTTGATGACCTGAATTAATGTGACAACTGACTGTAGGGGGCCTTAACATCTGCTGGAAGATTATAGGGTTAAGCACTCAGTGCAGCAACGCCCTTTGACGCAGGCTGACCACACTGATGTAAGGTCTCTGGAGTAGGATGCAGAATATTTCTCAACAGGAAGGGAAGTCTGTTACTTCATATTTAGATTCTGCCCTGTCCACCAGGTCAAAGTTGCAGAGGAAATCACTCGTGATGCATCTGGTCCTCATTCAGTTTGTGCTACGCACAGGCTATGTCATTTCTGTTTTGCAGTCTTTGCTGTGTCATGGATTCGTCTCGGGAGAAAATGTGACACGTGACTGAGGTAGCTTGAGCTCAAACAACCTGGAGAAAACTGTTTGTGTAACATGCCAGCTGACTGGGGACGGGCTCTTCTCCATATACATAAAACCAAATAAGAGACTCATTCCCACGCATTGCCGGCCTCTCTGCAGAGTTGTCGTGTCCATTTGTTCTGCTCTACTTTGTATGTAGGTCGTCTGTAGTGGACCAGGGAGGCAGCACAATGGCAGCTGAATAAGCTGGTGTAACTATTGGCTTCATATAGCCCTAATTTACACAGCTAAACTGGGTAAGCCTTTTTACCCTGTATGCTTGTGAATATAAACTAATTTCTCATATGAAAACATAGTGAACAGCTTAAATACAGTACAGAGTGCATCAGCTGTTATATGATCAGCTGTATCCTATATATCCTGGCATGTGTACTTACACTTAAGTTTAGAAATTTGAAGAACATTTCCTGTAGTCCATTATATCATTGATACCTCCAGGATTTGTAGCTTTGTCCTTCAATACAAACATCTCTGCTCTTAGTTAAGAAATTCACCTTTTTATATCTTCATAGTTGTGATAAAATACATGTTTTATGTATATCTGTCTGTATCAAATAGTAGGTCAGCACAAAAAAAACCTGATTTGGACGAGATGAAGTTATCTTGATCGAGAGAACATTCTAGTATCTATCCTGTCAGGGTCACCTCTTGATGGCAGTGTGTTAATAGTGAGGCTTCCTGTGTTCATCAGTTCTGTTCCTTTCCTTCAGTCAGGGAAAACGTTCCTCAAGTGAAGCAGAGCTGATGATGACTCATCCTGGAGGTTGTGATTCTCTGTAGAAAAAGCTCTGACATGTTCATTACTCAGTGAAGGAGAAGGGAGACACTCCAATAGTCTGCCTCTACCATGACACCCAGTGGTAAGTCTTGGACTAAGAATTAAAGAAGAAATCCGTCGTGTATGAACAGGATGTGAGAGTTGTTCAATTTGGACCTGGTGACAGAGTCCACCAATAGCGACTCAAGCGCTTTTAATTTATTGTCTTTAAATTAGAGCTTCAGATTCACAGCAACACTGATTTATTAGGGAGGTGCTTCTGTCCAAAATAACATACAAATCAAGTAAGTTATTTTGTTATAATTTGTTCATTTTGTGACAATTTAAATTAATAACAAAAATGAAGCGTCACTAATATTATTTTGTCTTCATGTCACAGAACATTTACGCATGTACTCAGACAGTTTCAAAGCAAAGTTCTAGAAATATGTTTCTATTTTTGTCAGCACTGTTGCAGCATCTTGCCTTTATAATTTACAGATATTAAGTTTCTCGAATACTGACCTCCTCATTATTCTGGACATATTTGATAATAACAACAACTCTAAGAACTCAAAAGTGTCTTCAATGAGAGGGAAAGAGTCAAAACTATAATTTACTAAATGCTCTGTAAGCCATTCAACGGCAACACTTCTTCCATTAGAAATTCATGCTGGAAACTTCAGTCAAGCAGATGCACCCGCTGTAAAGGCTATAAGACTTTAAACCGGATTCATACAAACAGGAGTGCAATTTAAAAAAAGACAAAGAGAAATAAAACAACCTTGATTAAAAACAGAAAAAAAACCAATTGCAGCACAAAACAACCACAGACTTTTGAATATGATTTAAGACACACTATTACACAGATAGATCATTTGTTCAGCATTTTACATTTTTTCCAGCTTTACAAAAAATAAAAATAAATCAAAACACTTTTGTGGAAACAAAAAACACTTTGGTATGAGTGTCTGTCTTTGTTGGAGGGCTGCTGATATGCTGGGTAAATGATTGAAGAGACATATATTTATATAAACCTTTCTTTCCACTGTAGTTTGACCAATAATCATTTATTGCTCAACTGTAAATGTGCTTTTACTGACTACTGCTGTTTTGTATAATCAATTCCATCATGTAAAGTACTCACTCTTTCTTTATTGCACCCTTTGATCTGAGATGTGTCCAGCTCAGAATCAAGCTATTGTCCGTACGTTCACTTTAAAAGATTGACCGAACAGTCTCAGTGTCCCGCTTTCCCTAATGATGAGTAATAATCAATGAGGATATCCAGAGCAAACATGATCTCCTGGGACTAACTGCATTCCACCGGGACACTTCGTTTTTAGACTCTGAGTTTTTAGAAAGATAAGTAGACTTTCTGCTTTCACACATCATCAACAACACCCCAATACATGTGAAAGTATCTGCCTGCTGTGACACAAATCAACAGAATCAGAGGTGAACCATCGATCACATGTGTCTGCCTGACACAGAAGAAACAAAGGGGAAAAGAAATCATCTGAAAGTAAGTTGTTACAGTTTCCTCAAAGGTGTACTATGGCATGCATGTCTGAGTAAAAATGAGAAGTATTTAAAATGTTGTTAAGGGGAATTATTCTCTATTATTTCCTCTAAGCATTAAGTGGATGTTGTAACTGTTTTAGCCCCTCCCCCCACATGAGATACTGCATGTTTGTAAGCGGTGTGATGTGTGTTTCAGGCGAGCCATGGCAGCTGATCTAGACGTGGTGAACCTATTTATCATTGCGGGGGGAACACTGGCTATTCCCATCCTGGCCTTTCTGGCTTCCTTCCTGCTCTGGCCGTCAGCTCTCATCAAAGTCTATTACTGGTGAGCTCAATAACTGTGTCCCCTATTTTCACTTTATTATAGATTTCAAACAGAATGTGAATTCTCACTGTGGAGACCAGAGATGTGACAGATGATAATCCCAACACAAATCAATAAATGATGATGATTAAAACAATGCATCCAATCCAAACACGTGTAGTATTAACTCTTTGATAGATTAAAAAAACAACATTTAAACTACTAACTGTAAGCTATTTTGAGGAGTTTTTATCTGGTTATGAAACAGATGGAAATGAATACTGATGTGTCTTTATGGGCAATCAGGACTAAAGCCACAAGGTTGCCTATTGCTATTTTGTAACTTCTAATACTTACTGTGAAATAGCTGCAGTGTGGTAGCTATCAGACAAAGTGTTTAACTTTATAGTTTACATTTACATTATTAATAAATGTAATTTTTAAGAGGGATGTTTAATCTTTATGGGACTTTCTGGTAAAATAAAGGTAAAAAAAAAAAAAAAACAACAGAGACTGTGAGAGTATCACGGCAGCTGTATGCATGTTTGTCTGCTGTCCTCTAATACTACAATGTACGCTACTTTAATAAGGGTTGTTGGCAGGGGCCTGCAGAAATAACATTGATCAGTCACCACTTTATTGTAATTATGACATGTGAGTGTTCCACTGACTTGACTTTGACAATATTACTCTAGTTTAACTAATGTTACATCATGCTATAAACATACACTTAATTAAAGTGTCAGTCAACTCATTTGGATGTCTCTCCATGAAACCCGCAGTTATGAAAATAAAGTAAAGAGAACATCAATGTGGGCAAGTTTGGATCCATGCCTATTACCACTTGGCACAGATTTAAATTCCTGTGTCTCTATCTACAAGCACAGACATTCTGCTCCTCTTCAGGTACTGGAGGAGGACTCTGGGCCTGCAGGTGCGATACGCAGACTGCGGTGGTTATCGCTTCTGTTACTCCTACAGAGGGAAGCCTGGGATGAGACCCTCCATCTTAATGCTGCATGGCTTCTCTGCCCACAAAGACACATGGCTCACTGTAGTCAAGGTTTGGGGCATCTGAAACTCTTTGTGGTTTGTTGACATGAACTCAACAATGCATTAAAAAACCTGACATTTTCTGAAACAAATGAAGCTTATAAATAAATAGTTTGGGTTCATATACAGGTAAAAGTGAAAGCCATTAAAGGCTATAAAGGTTTTAATTTTCTAGAAACTATAATACCTGATAGCAAAAGTAAATAATTAGTTAGAACTCTATGTGGAATTAATATCAATAACACGATAGCATTGGAATACTGTACACAGGGACTATCTGATCTGTTTTGAATTTCCCTTTTCGACACATCTAGTTCATTTCAATTTAAAAATGAACTTTTTTTTGTCTTCCACTGATCTAGTATCTACCCAAACATCTGCACATTGTGTGTGTTGACATGCCCGGCCATGAAGGAACAACTCGGACCAACACAGAGGATTACTCCATTCAGGGCCAGGTCAAAAGGATCCATCAGGTACACAAAAGATATGGACAATGAAAAACTCTGTATGGATGTGTTTGGAACTAAAATCATTCCACTGACAATCTGTTGTTTTATGTCCCTCGTGCTTCATAGTTTGTGGAATCTGTTCGACTAAACAGAAAACCTTTTCATCTGGTTGGAAACTCCATGGGAGGAAATGTAGCTGGAGTTTACGCAGCCTGCTTTCCCTCACAGATCTGTAGCATGACTCTCATTTGTCCAGACGGTCAGTAACTATGTGTGTGTGTGTGTGTGTGTGAGAGAGAGAGAGAGTGTGTGTGTGTGTGTGTTTAAAAGACACACAAAAGGGCTTAAAGCTTGTGTATTTGTGTGTGTGCACGATATCTCTCTTGTCTTCTGCTGCTGGAGAGATAGCTGTTCAAACTTTCAGAAAGTAGCCCTGATGATGTCATAACAATGTCACCTTGTTCATCTTAACCTGGGCTTGATGTCACCAAATTGTCTGGAATTTTGAAAATGACCCACCTCTTGCCATGGGGAACCTATTGTCTTCCCATTTGTTTGTAGTCCTTAAAAGACCTCAGACATAGAATGTATCTAGTCACGTACTACTCCTATCTATAACTTCAAATCTTTTAATGTAGAGGTCTACATAATAAGAGAATTAGCAAAAGTAAAAATACATTTTGCAGGCACTTCTCTTTCTCTCAAACTTCTATTTCTCTGTGATGTTGATTATGTCCTCACTGTTTTTTTTGTTTTGCAAGGCTTGATCCTTTATGATTCTGTGCAACAACTTGTCATGATACATACTGGAATACTTCGAGTCTGTCACCTTATTATTCTCCCTAAACTCTCAGACAGGATCACAAAATGCTGAATTTTATATATTTAGACACAGATTTAAAAGCCTGCAGTTAAACGCTTCACCATTTACAAACAAGGGGGGCTCTAATGAAATACGCGGAAAATGAAGGTCTCGACATTCTCCAAAAGTGAAACTAAAAGTTTGGATCAGTCATGTGTGTTGGTCAAATTCTTAGACTTTGTAGAAGTGTAATAAAAAAACACTAACAGTCAAATAATTCATACCAGCTTCTGCTGCTAGTTTGTCCTTAATGGTTTTATATAATACTGATTATTTGTAAGTACAAGACATGACCTGACTTGATCATATGGTAACACATCCTTACTTATTTCACCTTGTTTGTAATGTGCAATTTAATTGAAGGCAAACATGATTGCGTGCTTTGTCACTTTTTAATAAGTAAACACTCCTCTATTCCTGCAGGTATAAGACATCCATGTGAGACCAAATTTGACAATCATCTGCAGGACCTGGAGCACAGCAATTACACATTAAACATCCCGCTGATCCCAACTACTACCGAGGAGATGGAGGACATGTTCAGACTTTGTTCTCATGTTCGCTTTAAAATCCCTCAGCAGGTCAGACCAACACTTGAAATAAAAGCATCAGGGATTTCCCTTTCAATGCACTTACAGCAGGTGACAATCATGGATGATGTAACTTATTATAGTAATCACCTCCGTGCCATACTGAAACATGTGTTTCTATTCTTTAGATTCTTCAAGGATTGGTAGATGTCCGGCAGCCTCACAACACATTTTTCCAAGAAGGTTAGTTCACATTAGTATAATGCTCAAGATTCACAATTCAAATCCTGTTCATTTCAATTTATGTGACCTATACTGTTACAGTAATTGTGTTTCATTTTTATTAGTATTTATGGAGATCGTTGGTGAGGAATCCAGATATGCTTTACAGGAACACTTACATCTCATCACTGCACCTTTACAAGTGATATGGGGCAAACAGGACCAGGTAAAGTATGATGTTTCACTTTTACATTGACTCACTTAATACAATTACAGAGGGGATTACCTGGTGCCTGACACTGTCAGATAAGACTAATATCCTCTTGCTGTGTAACATGGAGGCGTTGGCTCGAGTTTCTTTCTCTAACTGATCATATTTCTGAACTTTCCGACACATACCTACATTGGCATGACACCTGTCTCCTATTTGCCTTTTTGTGGCTCAGGTGGTTGATGTTTCTGGAGCTACAGTCATTGCCGAAGTGTCGCCCGGATGCAGGTTGACCTGCTGGAGAACTGTGGGCACTCAGTGGTGATGGAGAGACCTTGTAGGACTGCCAAACTCATCCTGGAGTTCATCATCATGCAGCAAGATGCTCGAGGCGGAACAAAGAAATCTTCCTGAACCAAACACTTTTTCCTCAGAGCTTTTTTTTTTTTTTACTGTAATGCTCTAACAGGCTCCTTGTAAATGACATGCATATGTATCGATGCCCAATCCCATACATTAAAACAGTCATTCTCCTTTCAGCATTTCGAATATAAATAAAATAAATCATGCTTTATCATTATATTAAAATCCCCTTGCATTAATGTTGATGTGACAGATGTAAGAATGTGTTCTTGCAGAGGTGCCCTGTGCTTGCAGCAGGACCTCCTCCCCTCCTGCAGCAGCCTGCCTGTGTAAGCAGTCAGTCCAGTGTGGCTGCAGCCTGAATCCAGCGGCAAACACCAGTGACTGACTGCATCTTTTAATGCTATCCGTAGGCCGCTGACTTTGTACAATAAGAGACAAAGTGACACGAAAGTGAACCGGTAAGGCGTCGTTTCAGCACCCGTCTTGTTTCAAGGTAGCCTCTGTGAGATTTCGACGTGAAAACTGAAGCATTAACACCAGCTAACGTCAGCATCGCTCGCTAGGCTAACAGGCTACATTTCGAGTGTGCTAATCGCAATGTGTTAAACGCTTAATACCTCAATGAATCCGAGTGAGGCTTGCGATTAACTAATATCGTACTTTAATGTATTTTTTTTGTTTTGTTTCTTGAGGCGCCTGCTTCCTTGAGCCAGTTTACTTCCCCATTTTGTGCAGACAGACCTGAAATGCAGTGAGGTTTACTTTTATATAAACAGACAAGCTAGCGCCGTAAGCAGTCACCACTGAATAGTAAAGATGAATAATTGTCCCTGTCGATGTAAAAACCTTTGGATGTTGATTAATAAAATACTTTAAAGTTAATTTCACATCGCCAGCTTTCACTTTCAGTAAACTGTGCGTCTTGTGTTCCTCAGTCCTGAGTTGGCTAAGCTAAATACAAATAGGACTGAGGTGCTGCTTTGACTTTGGGGACACATTTTAAAACATTTAACATTTTACAAGTGTCTCCTCTGCTTTTTGATTATATCACATTGTTTTCATAAGCAGATGAACATTTTGCAAGTTTTCTTAAAAATGCAGATTTTTGATGACTATGACAATGCTGCTAAAGACCTCGATGTTTGTATTCAATACACTAAAAAAAGGTCTTATAGTTAGAATAAACACTAAATGGACCTTTAAATGGTGTTTCTTAGTGAAATGCAATGCAATACTTGCAATGCACGTCATTAAGAATATTCCATGTGCTTCAGTACACTGATCTTTAAAATCAACAAAGAGAGCATCGCCTTCTTAGTAAATATTAAGACAGGTAGATCATTATTGCTGTTAGGTACCACGTGATTTCACAAAGTCTTCATGTTAATATCCCCTCTACTGCATGATGTGTTACAGCTCATGTTAATGTGACTGTTTTTCACAGGTGAAATTGAAGTAAGCCAATACCATATCTGTTCCCTCTATTTTGGTTCTGACCAAGTGGGTATTGTTCTACAAATGGATAATGGAGACTGGGGCCATAGGGTAAGAGATGGATAAAAATCAGACAAAATAAGGGTAATGTCAGGTGATTGTTTCTGATGGTAAATCCTCTCTTTTTTTTTTTTTTTCTTTTTTTACTTTAGTTCCACCATCTAATACATCTTGTGCAACAGTCCCACCGTAGTTAAAGACCACCTCCTTGGAGGTTATGATGCTAATGTTGGTTAAAAAAAATGGTTAAAATAGTTGTGGAGAGACTTTGATTGAATGTGTGCCAGTTTTGGAGACTCTGAAATCTTTAATGTGCATAGTAAGTTGTTTCTGTTATTTACTCTACCCTGACTGGTATGAATTGGGTAAACAAATGTATTACTATGTTAAGTGATTCCCATCATGGTTCTGTGAACTACAGGATTTATGGTAGAGTTTACACCTTTTATCAGTGAAGGTGTGCTTTGAAAATAAATAAATACCAATAACTGCAGGATGCAAATGCTAACGTATTTTAACTGCACAACCACATGTTCTTATCTTATTCCCTGCTCCCTTTTGGCCTAGATGACTACTCCTGTTACTTTGAACGTGGGAGGCCACCTTTACACCACCAGCTTGTCCACCCTGCAGCGTTACCCAGACTCCATGCTGGGTGCCATGTTCAGGGGAGATTTCCCGACAACTCGTGACTCCCAGGGCAATTATTTCATAGACCGTGACGGAACGCTTTTCCGGTACATCCTGAACTTCCTGCGAACGTCTGAGCTCACCCTCCCGCTGGACTTCACAGAGACAGACCTCCTAAGGAAAGAGGCTGATTTTTACCAGATCGAACCTCTGATCCATTGTCTTAGTGATCCCAAGCCCCTGTACCCTCCTGACATCTTCGAGCAGGTGGTGGAGCTCTCCAGCACTCGAAAACTGTCCAAATATTCAAACCCTGTCGCTGTTATCATCACACAGCTAACCATAACTACAAAGGTTCATGGGCTGCTAGAAGGGATTTCCAACAACTTTACCAAGTGGAACAAACACATGATGGACACCAGAGACTGCCAGGTGTCATTCACCTTTGGACCATGTGACTATCATCAAGAGATCTCCCTAAGGGTTCACCTCATGGATTACATCATGAAACAAGGCTTCACCATCCGCAACACGCGCGTGCATCACATGAGTGAGCGTGCAAACGAGAACACAGTGGAGCATCACTGGACTTTCTGTAGACCGGCTCACAAAGTTGAGGACTAAGTAACAGCAGAGTTGTTATGGATGTCTGATTTGTATTCATACTCCTCAAATCATGATTAAAAACAAACAAAATGCACCTATGTTTCTGTAATGAATCATAGATACGATTACTTTTCATTGCCGTAATCAAAGTGGTACAGAGCCCAGAACTCGAATTTCAATCCAGACAGACAGCACAAAATAAACAAGTATATGAATGATTTATTTATTCATCTGAGTGTTAACTTTTTGTGACACTCCAATCTGTGCTACCACTACATTTTTAACAACGTCTAAAAAAAAAAAAAAACATCCCTTATGAAACAAAGTGACCCAGTATTAGAGATGGTATTTAGTCAGGGGGAAACTGTTGAAATAAATAACTAAACATGCGGGTACATTGACAGCATGAATGAAGGAAACTTCTGGAGCACCTCTCAATTCAGCTTCTTTAACATGGTTGAAACAGACTGACGTCCCAACACAGCAGGTGTCTGCCTCAGAACCAACATGGGGGTACATTGATTTAATGGAATGACTTTGATTTGATGTGGTTCCAGTACCTTCATCTGTTAATTCTTAAGTCAGAAATAAAGTAAATAGGAGGCCATGATTTGATTTGTGTTGCCTACCTACATGAATTAATGTAATATTAGATAACCATTTCAGGGAAAAGGAGGAAAAAAAGGTTTTGACCCCATATAGTAGCTGCCTCCTATGTACTGGACAGGAGGCGACATGAACTAATACTGTAATCCAAATTGTCAGGTGCATTTCTTTTTTTGATAGTAAATTATGATTATCTGAAGCCCTTAATCATTCTGGGGAGCTTTTATTATATTTTCATTTTAGTCCTAGCTCTCTATTGTCTCCTAATTATGGTAGTATTTCTGAAGACCAGAGTTGTTGTTGCATGTGTCTGAGTGTCCTGTCTATATATATATATATCTGTGTTGTGCTTTGCAGTATTGTGTCACAGTGTTCATAACAACAGTGATGTGTTTAGTTACCCAAGCCAAAATAAACCCATTGTGTATTTGTCACTCATTAATTCTGCTTAAGCAATTAACTTCTCACATTGACTTTGATTTTTCTTTACTACAACTCCTACTGACTGTTAACAAATCCAAAAATCAACTAACTGACAAACTCCTTCAAAAAGATATACAACCTAGTTCACAACAATTTATTTGAGCTATCCAGAGAGAACCCTGGCGTGTGTATGTTTAAAGTTACAGTCTGTTGAGAGGTAAGAGCCTTATATTTGCCTTTCTATCTTGTTGACTTGCTCTCATTTATTCCGAAAGGAAAACAAAAATCAAAGAAGACAGCTTTCAATAACGTGTTCCCAAGACAGAAAATCTATCTGAGTAAATTGTATGCTAGAAAAAACATATATTAGTCAACTAGCAATTTTTATTGGTTGAAAGATTTTGGATACTTAAAACTTGTTTTAAAAAAATCTCTTTCAAGGTCTGACTTCTTTGTCACATGGATCTGTTTATTTTTTACTGAATGTCAGTGAAACCCTGTGGCATCTTTAGTGTCCACTCAGTAATCTACTTTGCATTTCATTTATCCCAATAGAAACGAATTATTTTATTGATCCCAAACTGGGAAATTGTGGCGTTACAGCAAGCAGGTTGTCCAAACACACAATATGAGTAAAAAACACAATGTTAGCAAATCTAAACACAATATAATATTAACTACAAAGTAAATAAGTACTAAAAAATATCAAAACTAAGAATGTGAATATATACAACCAGGATTTAACTAAGCATTACTAGTCTTAAATAGGAAGATTAAATGTAAATGTAAAAAAACAGAGTCATAAATGGACAGTATTCACATAAGTTAAAGTGCATGAGTGTAGACATATATAAGCAGAAACTATACAATATAACGGCGAGTAGACAGCCAAATGAAGATAAGGCTTTAGAAAACTTGACAGTCATTTCAAAATAAATCTTTAAAAAATTATAATCTTAAAAATTTGTTTATGTTTATGCTATAATAATGAAAATATCTACATAGATTTCGTCCTTTATATTTTTCAAAAGCAGTCATGAAAAAGTTTAACATAACACGGTTGATTAAAGCCACACGCACAAATTGCATATTTTGCTCAGAGATGTTTTACTGTTTATTTACGTATCAACCTTTAACTCACCCGGATGTAAAAATCGCTTCCTGGATGCACTCGTTTTTAATCTCCATCGTAAAGCTGCCTTCCTTTTTTTTTTTTTGTGTGTGTTTGCCCATTGAAGATGAATCTGTTCCTTTGCTTCATGCCGGGTCCTAAAACGAGCGCTCCCCCCTGACGTCACTCGTTCTCATAACATGTGTAAAGGACATGTGAAGGTGCACCCTTGCGCTACACTTAACATTGTGTAGTTTGCCCACGACTGTTTATCGAGCCACGAAACTGATGTATATCTGTGTTAGTCAGAATGTTTTATAGAAGTAAAAACCTAAGCTATTTCTTGAACCTCGTCCCGGGTAAAAGTCGTCTCGGGACCTACAGGTTCCTCCCCGTCTTCTTCTGTATCGGAGGCGTCATGGAGTGGATCATGATCAACGTGAGGATAGGGAAGGAGACTTTTTGTAAGTTAACCATGACAAATTTGCCACCGAAGCCTTTATATATATATATATATATATATATATATATATATATATATATATATATATATATATATATATATATATATATATATATATATATATATATATATATATATATATATATATATATATATATATATATATATATATATATATATATATATATATATATATATATGTATATATGTATATGTATATATATGTATATATGTATATATATATATGTATGTTATAAGCTGACGACAGTAACACAATGGGAACTAACAGGATATCTTATCATATTTTAAATGTGTTGATAAATTGTTGTAAGTACCTCCTGTCTGGTAAGCTGTTTTATAAAAGGTAGTTTTATATTTTAGCAGAGAGATATTCAAATTTCCATGTTGTCGCAGTGTGCAGGTGTTACGGTTTAAAGAGTGACCATGTTAACTTTTGACTCAGCTGAATACGTCTGTGTTGGTCGTAGTTATCGGTTATATATGTTTATTCATTTGATAGGGACGATACAATGTAACAGGTGTTCTGATGTAAACTGATGTGTTGCATAGAATTACTGTAGTGGGCCTATATCTTCAAATTATAATTCAGACTTCACAACAACAAAAATATAGCCAACTGAGCATCATGATAATATGACAACATAAAGCATAGCTCAGCTGGTGGAAGAATGAAAAATAACCCTGAATCCAAACTTGTACTGAAAAATACTTCATAAACCCAAACAGTGTAAAATAAGTATTGTTTAATCATCACGTATGTATGATAGGGCTGCTGTTTTAATGATCAGTAAATATTTACAAGTTTTCTAAGTCTTCTTTGGTTGATACCCCAAACCCCATAACACAATCTGTTTTCTATATGTTTGAAGAGAGGGAAAAGTAGAAGCCCCTCACATTTGAAAAGGTGAAAACAAACTAATATTGTCCACCTTTTAATACATTAAAACTCCGAACAAATCTCTTTTAGCAGAGGTGTTTTCTGTTGATCTTCTCTTGTGATTGACCACATATTGTAGCTTTTGAGTTATACAGAGTTTAGTTAAAACAGGGCTTCAACACAGGCTTCAATGGCTGTAAAATTGTCTGTCAGATGCATTTAGAAAATAATTCTCCATGAGATTTAGTGAGGTAGAATAACAAGTCAGAAAAGCTCAAGTGAAAAATCAGGACCTAAAATTGACTTTAGGACAGCATTTGTAGTTGCACGTCACATGCTTGATGTTGCATAGAAAGGTGTTGAACTGCACCTGAAAAGATTATCCATGCTTCTGGATCAAATAAGCAATATGAACCACATGTGTTTTCTTTCTCTCTGATCTTAAGTCTGGGGCATTTCAGGAGAGCTTAGTGGAGTCAAACAAAAAAAATGTGTTAAAGAGAAGAAAAAAAAACCTGGCCTTCATATTTCTTCTTGCTAATCTGAGGCCATTTAGGGATAAGGAAAAAGTTGTCCTCTGCAGAAAACATACTCCCTTTCCTAGTTTCATTCCCAAGACACAAACTCTCTTTACTTAAACGAGATTTGCAAAAACTGTTTTTAGGGTAACTCACAAGTTTAGTTTATACAAGAACATTTGGCATGTCACAGTAAGAACAAACACTAAGTTGAAGTCATTTTTTAAAGCCTTATTTCATTTATCTGGTGCAGATCTTTTCCACAGCATTTATGTAAATTATTCAAAGCAGGAAAAGCACAGGTGAAAAAAAATGTTTAGAGAGCGTTGGCTTTGGTCTTTTATGTGTCTCTTAATCCAAACTAGTGTTCCAGAATCTTGGAACTGGCTCACCTAAATGGAACACACTAACTATTAGGTACACCTGCCAAATCGTCTACTTTGGAAAAAGCTCTATTTGTTCATACTGGACAGCTGTCAGGGCTACTAGAAGAGAGTCACCGTTAATGTTATTAGGAATACCTGTGCAGTCCACCATATGTCTCTGTCTTTACCTCCTGCACCTTTAACTACACCTGCTGTCTTTAACATGTCTTATTTCATTGTCTTTATTCTGCTATCGTCCTTCCAGATGATGTCTACCGAAGAAAACAGTCAGAGCGGGAGTACCAGCAGAAGCTTGTGGATGGTTTGGTTGTGCTTAATGAGCCTGCAGCAAAGTGAACACTGGTCACGCTTCATGTGGACGTCACATGTCTAATGAAAGGACACATTTTGACCCTTATTTCATTGTTTTCAACCAACTGGAGCGGACCTCATAGAGACGACAGAACATGTTGTCAAAGAGTGAAAAGTCTGATGGAGATATCCCTTTTAAAACATGCACGCTTTATTATTAATACAACCTTCTGTTTAAAGAGCTACAGCAAGGGTGATACCACTGCTTTGCAATCAAATGAAATAATAACAATGTGATATGATTACAAGTCTATGTTGATTTGTTATGATTCATACATTGCGTAGCACCTGCCGTAACAAAACAGCAACATGGGTAACGTTTGGGAAAAACAAATACAAAAAAACAGATGTTATTTTTTTCTGTAACTATGAGATTTCTTTAAGAAAAACATGGAAATTTACTGTATGAAAGATGTTGGTATATTAAATGATGCTTAATAGTATTTAACACATGGGATTTTGACTCTTTGTATCGCTGCATCCCTAATTTGACCCCCCCCCCAGCCCGACCATGGCATGCTCTTCATTTCAGTTGTACCAGCCGATAGGGAGAGACTGCAGACAGATAAAGCTCTCAGGATGATTCGAAAGCTTAATGGGGTTCCCGTCTAGTTTGGCCTCGTACATGTTGGTCCTGATGTAGTGGCTGGAGTTCCCTTGGCAGAACGTCTCATCAGTTATTGTTGCGATCTTGTTGTTCTGCAGAGCAAAGGCAAGAGAACAATCCAAGGAAACAAAAATGGACCATGACTTAATCTACAGCTGTCTATCCAGATTTTAAAAAATGGAATGATGTGAACTTACATGCAGATGAACGACATGAAGAGACTCTGGAAGTTGGGGCACTGCTGTCAGTTCGTTGTTTCCGAGGTAAAGGTACGCCAGTTTTGTAAGTTTCTGCAAAATGAATGACAGTCATTACTGAGCAGTCTACTTGCTTTTTCAAACTTATGAACACATGCATGCCATGTGCCGTTATTTAGTGTAATATTTGGCTATAATTACAGTGGGTTTGCCTGTTGACTTACTTTAAAAGCAGTCGCCTTTACCCCCTGGGTTCTAAGCTGGTTCAAATTGGCACTGAATGATACCAGCTTGGTGGGCAGGATGGGGAGCTTGGTCAGTCTATTTTCCGCAAGAGAGAGCTCCTCAAGATTTGAGAGTTTTGAAAAAGCGCCGTCTTCTATTTCAGAGATGAGATTACCAGTGAGGTCGATTCTCCTTAATGTGACTGAAAAAAAAGAAGAAGAGTTTTAAAGAAGACCTTTGTGGAACTATTTGTCCTTTATTGTAGTCACTTTCATTTACCCATGTCTGCAAAGTCCCTGTTGCTGATTTTTGTGATTTTGTTGAAGCGTGCATACAGATATGCTGTTTCCTTTGGAAGTGCTGGAACACTTGACATTTCCGGGGACACCTCCTCACAGTAGACAGATCCGCTCAGGCAAACGCACAGCAGACATGTTGGCAGCTCTGTAAAGATCACAACTTTGTTGTATTACCTTTTTCTTTACGGAAAATATAATTGTGTCTTTCAAATAACTTCTGCTCCCTGTGTATCACTGTACAGATTATCCTGCAACTCCGTTTATGTGAGGACACTTGATCAGCCCCTTTATTACATAATATTGGCTTTAGCTACATTCAGAAAAATGTGGAAGAATGCCTCAGTAAGTGTTGCATAACCGACATATAAACACTTTGTGAAAACTTTCTGTTAAACAAACCTTACCAATGGCTTTGGGAGACACATCTTGGTCACTTTGATAGTTGTCTGGTATGTTTACAATGCTCTGTAAAAATAATTTTACTTGTTAGTTTCTTTACTTTGCCTCCAAACTCAGTCAATTATGACTTTCTTTCACCTACGTCTTCACAACATTTATAAACCACAAAAAGATCATTTTACCTTGGTTCTCCTTGCTTCCAAGTATTCCTCCTCTGCTGCAGAAGACAGTACTATCCATGGTAGCATTACATATGTGAAAATTAAAGTCCTTAAACGCATCGTTGTGTCTTAGTTGCTGGTAAGAGAAGTGAGTGCTGCCTGCTTGGCTGGAATCTGAGGTACATTTGAGCAGGAAAACTTTCCATCCAGTTTTTATAAAGCTGCCAGGATACTGCTGAGTAAGAAAAGGGAACACATTTTAACTCAATATGGGCTGTTTTTTTCTCTCAGTGCTCAGGATGATTGTAAAGACAAATATATTTGAGTAAATGGCAAATAGAAAAGTATCACAAAGTGACAACTATAGTATTGGTAGCAGACAAATTGTTAAGTAAACATGACAGATGTTGCTTGTTAAGTTTACTTAAAGTGATGTAGTCTGTAGTTATTGGGAAAAGGTGTTTCAGTTAATGTGGAAAAACTGCTGATTAAAAATGAATCAGCAAAGCAAAGGATATCTCCCTGTTTTGAAAATATTATAAAGTAAATAATTCATAAAAAAAACAATTAAGCTACAGATCAATCAAAATCATTAAAAATGACAGACCTTTGTCATATGCACTGAGGAAAGGATTGGACATAGAGCCTGCAGGTAAATGTTTTAATGCTTCACTGAACTGCATACAGGCCCTGTTTACAGAAACCTTTGTAAACTGGAGTATCATTGTCAACCTCCTGCACTGAGTAAATGAGGCTGCTGAAGTTTCCTTGAATAAAACACTGCAGCCCCTCAGGCCCCAGAGTTGGTGCTCTGCCAATGACCTTGACCTTTGACCTTTTTTTTGTGCAGGATGAAAAACCAAAACATAAGCATTTACTATCCATGTGAAGTTGCCACAGGTACTAATGAAAACAAAGCTATCTCAAATGTTCTGCCCAGGAATGTCTCAAATCATCAAAGTGTTTTAAAATGTGCAGTCAGCGAAGATTGCCTTTTTTTTTTTTCTTTTTTTTTTTAATGAATAATGATCTGAGTAGCTAAAAAAAAGTCGACACCAGGCAAGACGCAGATGCTACTTTATAAAAAAACAAACAAAAGAAAAACACCTTTGCTCACTTCTTTTGAGATCACACATTTTGACGGGGGCATCGTCCTTTAAAATCTCATGAAAACGGAGATAAGAACCTGTTTTTTTTTATTATTATTAGTATGGGCATGTAAATGATCTTATTTAGCGCATTGAGCAGTGGTGGCATTACGTAAGGCAGATGTGTGGTGAAAAAAAAAAAAAAAAAAAAAAGGGGAAACAGAAGCGCCAGTGTAGCGGAAGTGGTACTGCCCTGAACGATACGCTGAGCGAGACGGAGGACGGAGGCTGAATCGTCCATAGAGAGAGAAGATAAAAAAAAAAAAAAGGAGGATTAAAAGCCGCCACTATTGTGAGTATAACGACCCCATGTTGACGAAGAGTGCACTATAATGTTATAAATTCATGACTGGCTCCGTGTTTGAATGGCTGTTTCATCGTGTCTGCTTGTATACCGTAACGCTAACCCCACCAAGATAGCGGAATTTGTGAAAGGCTACCACCGTTAGCTCGCTGATTAGCATTAGCTGCGAGCTAACGGGAGTCCATCACACTTTTGTTCTGACAGGCTCGTCAGCCCGGGCGGGCCGTCGTGCCCCACAGCTGATTTAAAAACGAACCAAAAGCCCAAATTGCCCCAACATGGGAGTGCAATATTTAATTTAGTAATGGGTTTTAATGAAGCCACACGGTTGCTCGCCAACACCTTTTTTTAAAGTGTGTGTTTTAAACGGAAAGTCAGTCGTTCCTGTTCGCTGGCCTTCTCTTGCTTAGCTTACGGACATTCCCCGTTTAGGTGGTGGTGACGGTAATACTGGACAACGACAGCTTAGCTCACTGCCCCCGTTCACTTTGTGTTGTTTATACGACAGCTTAATAACATCAAATACGTAAAAAAAATTAAATAAAAAGGGAAGCGAGTTGCCACGTTTGATCGCAGTCAAACCAATGATGCATCATTGTCAGATATCTTAACACATACTGAGCTAACGTAAATAGCCCCGCTAGCGTTTTTGTAGCAACATCAGAGGAGGAGGAGGAGGTGATTACAGCCTGACCCGGGAGGGCTGCTGCTTTCTGTTTGCGGTAAATTTGCAGGTGGAACTTGTGTGTGTGTTCAGTTTTACGTCGTGGTGCGTTTTAAGGCTGTTGACAACGTGGATTAAATAATACGCGGACTTAAATCATTTAAGGACGACTGGTTAGCCATGTCGGCTAGGTAGCAGCTAACCTTAGCTAATGATGAGTATGGTTGACCCACTTGCCAAGGGGCCCACTTGGCAAGTGCATTTCCTCGCTTTGTATTGAATCCAAGGGTTTCCTTACTTGAATGATTTGGATCGTGGGACTTCAAATATAACATTATTGTCAGGTGATAGGGCAGGTTGTGGTTAAACATTGTTCCTTCTTTTTGATGAACTATTCTTGATTTTATTCTGTATTTGTTGTTTTTCTTCTCCTCCAGACTAGAAAATGGACAAGAACGACCTGGTACAGAAGGCCAAGCTCGCTGAGCAGGCTGAGCGCTACGATGACATGGCCACAGCCATGAAGCAAGTGACAGAGCAAGGTTCGGAGCTGTCAAATGAGGAGCGCAACCTTCTCTCCGTTGCCTACAAGAATGTTGTGGGAGCACGTCGCTCATCCTGGCGCGTCATCTCCAGCATCGAGCAGAAGACTGAGGGCAATGACAAAAAACAGCAGATGGCACGTGAATACCGGGAGAAGATTGAATCTGAGCTGCAGGATATCTGCAAGGATGTGCTTGTAAGGACTTTAAATTTCTTTTTTGAGGTTTTTAAAACAGTCCCAATTCAAACACTTGTTACTTACATAAGCCTGATAATCTAACTTCAAAACTTGTGTTTTTGTTTTCAGGGGCTGCTGGACAACTTTCTCATTACCAACGCATCTGCTGCTGAAAGCAAGGTTTTCTATCTGAAAATGAAAGGCGACTATTATAGATACCTGTCTGAGGTTGCATCTGGGGATGCTAAGAAGGGTAAGTGGGGACATTTTAAAGCTCTGCATATAATTTTTGTCCACTTTTGGTTGTATGTTTGTTGGGGAGGGAGTGCATTTTATAGTTTCTACTACTAGCTGATTTTAAGCAAAATGGAAACATTGTAGCCACTTTATCCACACTAAAACTCAAACTGTGTTCTGTGCCTGCTGCTCAATATCTAATAGGCAACTCTCTGCAAACACATTCAACTTTTCAGGCATACACTAATAATTCAGTGTCATTCTCATCATTGCTTGTTTTGCTACGATTCGGACGTGATCAATGACATGTTTGTTTTGTATATCTTTTTGAACCAAAGACACAGTGGACAATTCCCAGCAGGCGTACCAGCAAGCTTTTGACATTAGCAAGGGAGAGATGCAGCCAACACACCCAATCCGGCTTGGCCTGGCCCTCAACTTCTCAGTCTTCTACTATGAAATTCTCAACAACCCAGACAAGGCATGCACCCTGGCAAAGACGGTATGGACTGACCTCTAATTTCACCTTTTTTCAGGATTTGTAAACAATAAATGTCTAATTAGCCACATTTGTATACACATTATCACACTTGTATACCTTTCTCATATTTTCATATTTGTAAATAAGTTGAACTTTTTTATTTCAGGCATTTGATGAAGCCATCGCCGAACTTGACACTTTGAACGAGGATTCTTACAAAGACAGTACCCTGATCATGCAACTACTAAGGGACAACCTCACTGTGAGTCTCCAGCCCTGTGATGATTCACCCTGATGATTTTCATGATGTACTAATTCACATCAAATATACTGATTTTTTTTTCTCTTTCTCTCTCTCTTTCCAGCTGTGGACATCAGAAAACCAGGCAGATGAGGCAGAGACTGGAGACGGGGAAAACTAATGGAATTGCACTGTTAATCCACCTACACTCTTATCTTAAACACAGACAGCTTATATACATCCCCCTCCACTCCATCAGCTCCTCCCACTTCTGTATGACAAGCAGCCTGAATTGCTCCTGACCAACTAGTTTACCCCTCTCAGTTCACTGTGAGGTGACAGGGTGATTTTTCAGTTAGCAGATTCAGTCACTTTGTTGAAACATGTTGTATTAATTAGTGAGTCCATGTTGCTGTTGTTTTTTTTGTGTCTGTTTTGTGTGCATGTGTGTACGCCTGTTTGTAGTGAGTGAGCAAGAGTGAAAGATTGTGTGTATGGTCTGAGGGGGGCTTTTGTGAATTATAATCGTCCTTCCAAATCCCTTTGTCCCAGCTAGTTGTGCATTTTTCATCCCATTTTTTTTTTTTTGTTACTTTCTTATTTGTGATTCCTCATGATATTTACAGGTTTTATTGTATGGTAATTATACTGGCAGTTGATTTCCACCAAACACTGTGATGGTAGGCGTTCCATTTGCATTTGCTTCACAACCCCTAAAACATTTTTTTTTTTGGTTAGAATTTCAGACATGCGTACAATCCTGTATTCCACTAACTGCAATTCTGCTGTGTTCATACAGAAAGGAGGCAGGCTGTATTGTGACACTGACATCTTGGTGTAATGCTCCTTGATCATGTTCACAAACTTCACAATTTTGAACTTTTAAGGGACCCCTCAAATTGTCATATTAGACTTGTCCAGGCATCAGACATTCCACATTGTTAAGCTCTTCAAAGGCAGTGCATTCTTTTCTTTTTCTTTTGAACTAAGTTTGGATTGTCATTGTAGTTTTACTCACTGTTCAGGTGCTGCTTGATCTCAGTACAATGGAAAATGTATGTGCGTAAATGTGGTTCCATGTATTTTTTGCAAGATTGACTATCATCTGTATGTAAAACCTAAAATAACCTTTTATTGATGTTAATTGAAAATGTCTTACCACACTGTATCAACCCTGCTTGCAAAAATATTCCTCTAAAGCGGTTGTTTTCTCCAAAAAAAAAGAAAAAAAAATCTGTGCCTGGCTTTCTCTTGCAGCCTCTGTGTTTTCATTCAGGGGCCAGATCTGCTTGTTGTTGTTTAAAAATTTAGAAGAAAACGAGTTAGACCAGACAAACTTAAAATTTGCTAAATCTCAATTTTTACCCAGGTGCATTTGTGCTGTTAAACATAGCTGGTGTGAAGAATCGCCTCAATAATCAAGTATGTTCTGATGGTGCAATTTGGAGATTTGGAAAAGAAGCTCAGTGTCACAATACCATGTATCACCACTACATTCCACATATTGTAGTTGAAGACACCATTCCACATTATAGCTGACAGTCTGTTTACTCTGACAATGCTCCAATGAATTGAAATCATTTCTGTTTAAAAAAAAAAAAAAAAAAATCATGTCAGTTTATTATGCTTGATGAAAATGCAGTTAGTGAATGTGGAACGAAGCCTGTCTGTATATCAGGTATCTACTTGCTTTGTTTTTACTGACAAGTCTTATGGCTAAAATTTGCTTCTGTAACAGTCTATTACCCAGTGCACACACGTGGTTGTGAAAACTTTAGAATAGCTCTTAAAAAGCAATGACTGAAAATGGAGATAAAACAATGGTTGGTGTAATTCTAGCTTTGTGTTTATGTATCTTAAAACCATTCTAGTTTCACTATACATGTAAGAAATAGGAAAGTGTCAAAGACCATTCAGTGAAATAAAGTTTCGTTTAAGATAACAGGCTAATAACGTCTTCATTTTGTTCAATTGAACTATGTCTATGGGTGTGCTTAAATGCTAGGAAAGTAGTTAACACATGGAGATTAATCGCTTTGATATGGTGACACGTTGTGTGTCGACGTAGTTTACCACTAGAGGGCGAAATAAAATAGATTTTAGCCTTAATCCGCGAGAACTATATTTCATCGCGGTGTGTTACAGTAGTTAGATCACAACCCTTTAGTTTCGGTCTGATAACGCTGCGCGGAGGACAGATGCAGGTGTTCTACGGTCTTAATTAAACGAAAACAACTTCCCGCCCATGTGAAATTAAACGGCGCTCACGACCTGCTACATTGAAAAATCACACATCAGAATTTCAACTCATAGACAAATTAAGCTTAAAGCTGTAAGTAGAGCATTGTTTTTGCGATTCCCGTGTTTGTCAACTCTTTTGCTGCTTCGTCGGCATCACTACACTAGCGAAGTGTCTCATCAAGGGCATGGACATATTTAGCTAGCTGTAGCCACTTTTTCCAAGCTAATGTTTTTTGGTAAAAAGCCAATTAATATATATTTTTTAAATTTAATTTAAAGCTTTAAATGTTGGAATTCATTTTACTGTGAACCTAGCTTGATTGAAAGCTAACTTAAGAAGCATTAGTTCATGTTAATTTATTTGACCTATGACCCTATGAATCTCTTTAGCCATGTTTGAAACCTCCTCTTGTCTCATTATTATTTTTGCTAGGAAAAAAAAAATACTAACCAACAATGGCACATCATAAATAAATACAGACTTTAAAGGCTGTTTCAGAGACTTGATGTAAAGTACATGTTTCCTTATGTAGAAATCACTAATATCACTGTGGTCTTGGAAACATAAAATTAAATTTAATCTACAAAAACAGAATAAGATGATGTTCAGAAAGGTAGTTCAAGAGCTGCTATAAAAGGTTTACACTGAATGTAACTTAGGGTATGAAGTATATTTACCACTCATAAAAGATTCAGTCATGATGAAAGATACATGTTTGTTTCTTAATACCATGAACAAACAAGCTTTATGATTTAAGTACTATTTAAAACACAACTATTCTTCTTTCTTGAACTAGCTATTACCCAAGATGAACAGCACTGGACAATCCTATCCCCTGGCCTCTTTGTATGTCGGGGATCTGCATCCAGATGTAACGGAGGCCATGCTGTACCAGAAATTCTCTCCCGCTGGACCCATCATGTCAATCCGTGTGTGCCGTGACATCATCACCCGCAGATCTCTGGGATATGCCTACATTAACTTCCAGCAACCAGCAGATGGTACAGTACCCATTGTGCACAAATCCATGACATATTCTGCAGGGCGTTCATTGCTTTGCAGATGCTGTAATACACTGGAATAGCCACTGTGTAACATCAGTCACCCAGGCACTCGTACGAAAACTTCTAACATGTGATGTTAAAGACTAAATTCTCTGAAATAAATATAAACAAAAACCTTGAAAAGGCTGGATGTTGTCATGATCCAGAGATGATTGTGTAAATGGATTAACTGATATAAAACACTGAAAATCAATCTTTGTTTAATGCTCACTCATAACAAATCTTTTCAAGACCCTTCACAGAACGAGCAGTTGTGGATCAAACCTTTCTTTTTATTTATTGATTCACAATATGCATCCTTCACAGAGATGATACAATGTCTTGTTGTGATGATATTACATGATATATATTATTCATAATATATGTTATATTATAAATAAATGTTTTTCCTAGCTGAGTGCGCCCTCGATACAATGAACTACGATGTCATTAAGGGCCGGCCTATCCGGATAATGTGGTCTCAGCGTGACCCGGGACTCAGGAAGTCCGGTGTGGGGAACATCTTTATCAAGAACATGGACGAGTCCATTGACAACAAGGCGCTGTATGACACCTTTTCAGCTTTTGGAAATATCCTGTCCTGCAAGGTAAGGGGCCGTGTCATCTGTTGTCTACGCATGGTTATTGAAACGCCTGGTCTCAAACAGCAATATACATATATTTTGTTTTTACAATTTTAGGGATAGTATGGTATCAAAAATGTATCTGGTTTGAAAATACAATTGGAGGGTAAAATTTGAATAGAAATCCAATGTTGTTCATTTAATAACATGAACAACAATAATAACGTTTTTTAATGTTTGAATATATCCTGATGTGCCAAATTCTTATAAAATATGATGAAAAAACACACTGAGCATATGTGCAATGAACTGTTTTACATTTATAAAATAAACAGTTGTACAACAAGAATATTCAGTCTGAACAATCAGATTTGTGGAACAATAACATGATGATTATCTCGTATTGACATAATAGTAGCCAGGGTTTTTCCTGCATAGAGAATTCTTTGGCGCCCCCCAAAGAGGTTTTACCCAGCGCCAAAGAAAAATCATGAGCGCCAAAAGAAAAAAAAAAGACGATTCATATTGCAAATCAAATCCTCTCTGAATGCATGTTAAAAATATCAATACATCAAACGACTGTTGAACAAGCAGAACATAAACTTTTAATACGATGTCTCTGACTTCTAGCAGTCATCTCCCCTCTCATCCATTTACGCATGCGGCTCACGCTGGATAGCCAGCTGATTGACTGTTCGTTTCTTTTGACTGGTTTCGGACGCTCCGCTGACACCCACGAGCCTAAATGTGAGTTGATTATAATTTCAAAGAGCAATGCACTTCATGGCGGTAAATATTTATCCCAACAGTCATGTTAAAACTATACTAAACCGCGTATGACGTAGCTGCAGCTACTTGTCCCTGCTCCTCTGCTGTCTGCAGACGGGTCATCGTGGGGCCACGCCGAGACGAGACACACCAACATACATGGCTGCAAACGCACACACACACCGGAACGCCAACCACCGCGCGCACCTGTTTACTTGTAGTGCAACTGTGCAACGGAACACGTTTGATCCGCCATCCGTATGGACCGGGAACGCACGTTCAACTCTTCTCCGTTCACTTCCACCGTGTCTGCTTTTATCAACAATCAATAACTTAACGATCGTAACGTCAGCCAGCTGTAGTCTGTGAACTTCTCCACACAGACTGTCAAACAGCGCTGCGTTATAGCCAGCAAATATATTTTTATTATTTCTCAGTTTCCTGATCTGGTCAAATTATCTGTGACTTAAATCTGTGATTATTTGACATAATACCTTAGTAACTCAAATAAATGTACTTAAACAAATGTGTATGTAAAACGAAAACACAATTTAAAGGAAAAGAGCAGACATCATGGGTAGAGGGTGAAATACACTTGCAGAATGTGACCTTCCCTCTCCTAATCTCATTACACCCCTTTCCCTCAAAATCTCACTCCTCCCCTGTGTCACTCTTGCAATAAAAAACAATTATTTACCAGATTTAATTGGTGTTTCAGTAACTTAAGCATAATGATAATATTATTAATAAAATGGTCAGAAATAACAGGAAATGCACAGATTTCTGTCAAATAAGGTAATACAGACTTGTAGACTATACTGTTATACGTGGGTCGAACGTTTACTACAGCGCATGTAGTCGCCCCCCCAAAGGCCCATTCTGAGCCAGGAAAAACCCTGGTAGCTAACTTAAGTGAGGCCTTTATCACCCACATTGACACAAGAATCTATATCTACAACTCGAATACAAGGAGATATTTTATGGAACAAAGCTCTTAGTGTTTTTTTTTTTTTTTATAGGTGGTTTGTGATGAGAAAGGATCCAAAGGCTATGGCTTTGTTCACTTTGAGACTCACGAGGCTGCAAACCGGGCCATTGACACAATGAACGGGATGCTGCTGAATGATAGGAAAGTGTGAGTAAAGTAAATACTTAGAAACGCTGAGATGGTAAGATTATACCAACAAGTTGAGGAGAAGAGTTAGTGCAGAATTTATGAATGTTAACAATATAAACCATGAATGAATACTGTTGACTCTTCAAGAAGCCACAGACTTTGTGCAGATGACTATTTCATGTGTTGTTGTTTTTTTCACTCAGTCGAAAGACAGGTTTTCATTTGGAATCTGGCATTGTCAACGCAAAGGCCTGTTTCCTGGGGAAAAAATGTCATTTGTCCCTGATTAGGTCAGTGAGTAGGTAGGATCTGTGTCTAGGTTTGTTGTGTTCTGTGTTTTAATTTAAGACAAAACAGACAAATCCGATCATAAGAAAGCTGTCATGTTGATAGAGTGCAGGTTGTTTGAGAGAAAAAAAGGATCTGTTCAAAGTTCTGTCATACGTTATACTGTATGTCACTGCCATGTCTTTAAGTTCTGTTGTAGGGCTGGGCCATAAGGAGTAAAAACAAAATCAAAATTTCTTTAAAAAAAGTAAATATTACTTTTTTTCTATGCTTAAAAAACAAAGGACACATGACATATCCCATGTGGTCGTGTTGAACCTGTTTCACAAATGCAACAAAACATGAATCACTCTCTTATGATTCTCCCCCTGTGCATGTATATATGCACAGGGGGAACTTAGGTTTAAGTCTATGGCTACGTAACTTTTTATAGCGCTAACATATTTCTCCATTAGGGGTTAGACAAAATATGGACATAGGAAATATTGTCCTGACATGTGTTATAGAATTATCTAGTCACTGGTGCCTAATATCAATGTTTAAAATCTAGAAACGACCACTCTAAACAGATTTCTAATTAACCTCTCCTCGTAACAACTTCATAACTCCTCATGGTGGCGCCCCAATGAAGGTAATGTGAATGGACAACAATTGGCAAAGGAAGTTGAAAGCGGGATAAAAGAAGATGAAGCAGACAGCGGGATAATGTCGGGCAGCAGTAAAAAGAAGTAAAAGGGTGAATCATAATAATCGAGGACCCTAACATCAAATAACAATATTTAGAGGTATTGTATATTCTACAGTTACTTGGATATTGTGGTTTCTTTCAAACAATTCCAACACGTCAGTTCTTGCAGAATTACTGTATGGTGATAGTTATCGTGGGCCTCTTATTTCCAGATTGAATATTGACACAAAACAGGAAGTGAAATGAATTGATTGAATCAACTTGTCGCCCAGCTCTATATTCCTTTTGTTGCTGTTGTGTTCTTTATGTCCTTCCTCATGTATTGTCTTGTTTTGTTTAATGCTGTGTGCTGAAGCCTAAGACAGAAGACACATTTCCACATTGCAGACCATCAAGATTTTAACTTACTTTGTCATTGTTGTTGCCTTGGTGATGGGTTGGATGTTGTCTGTAGTTTTGTTGGCCACTTCAAATCCCGCAAGGAAAGAGAGGTGGAGTTTGGCACCAAAGCTATGAAGTTCACCAACGTCTACATCAAAAACTTTGGTGAAGACTACTCTGATGAGAAACTCAAGGAAGTCTTCTCTTCATTTGGTAAGAGATTTTGAATTTATCGATTCTTCCCAGTGCTCAATAAAGTTGTGTTGAAATGCTTGCTTGTACTGTTTCTCTCAGGGAGGACTCTCAGTGTGCGTGTGATGAGGGACGAGAGGGGACGCTCACGAGGATTTGGCTTTGTTAACTATGCTAACCACGAGGATGCTCAGAAGGTAGACTGTGTGCCATGTCTGTGTGCCCTGGATACCAGCCGCAGAGGCAGTTCATTGAGTTGATATAAAGGGTGAAGCTGAAATGCTGCTCTTTCTTTTACTGTCATGTTAGCTTTACTTCACTGGCAAAAAAACAAAAACAAAGTGCAAATTATTCCAACACTATTCACGGACAACCATGAGATCCTGGATTATTGTTTACAGATCGGAAGTTACATCAAGACTTGGGAGTCTCAAACTAAACGCTCAGATGCACAGTGGATTTACAAAGACAAGGGAAGCTTCCCACTGGAGTTTTTGTTCTGGATATATTTTTGTTTGCTTTGTATCTCTGGTTTGAGCTCCTCCAACATTTTAGTGAATAATTCGGGGACATTTGACTCTCCTGCTACTTGTTGTTCAGCCTAAAAAATCCTATGGAAAAAAGGCATCAAAAAGTTGTGTACTTTAAATCCATAAAAACCCTAAAGCTTCAATGAATGAACTCAATACCGTTTAAAGATGTGTGTATAATTTTTCTCCTGAAGATTCTCTTTCAGGCATGTGGATACAAAACAAAACTGTAAGCCTGTGGACAAGAGTTTTGTTCCTTTAGTCCATGTGCAGGATGTAAAACAAAACCACTAATGAACCCTATCACACCTCTGCTAAGGGTTTATGGAGTTGCTGGTTAGTTTGCATCCATCTGAAGTGCATCTTTCACCCTGCAGCTCTGCCTTTCTGCTTTGTATTCATATCTCTGCCCTTCCCCCTCACAAAAAGACAGACCTGCAGCTCTGTGCTCTTTGTGGCTTCAAACATGAAACTGTCAGGCAATAGTCACTGTCAATCTGGAATAGAGAGACAGGTTTAAGAATAGGGAGTAATAGTCATTTCCTAGTTAGTCAAACAGAAAGTGAAATTCAGGCTAACAGATGAGTCTAAAGGTCGGACAGCAGTTGAAATTGAGAACAATTTATTTCAATTGTCATTTGGGTAAACAAACAAGCCTCTGGTCCATGCAGGTTAACATCCACATGCCTGTTCTGGATGTGGTTACGCATCGCTCTGGGTGATATGGCAGTGGCAGTTTAACCTGACGCAGCCTACACACATTTTATCTCAAGTTACTGACCAAAATACTACCAGGTGAAATGCTACTATGAGATGCTATCCATGCACTGTGCTTGTTTGTATCTGGATAGTAGAGTGGGGAGAGCAGGCCCTGTTACTAGAGCTGCTGCCAGTTTACGGGTTCAAATCCATCTAGTGGCAGGTGTCTGCGTTGCAGTTTGAGCTTAGCATTTGACCAGCATAGAGCTTCAGCATGTGAAAATATTGAGAATTTGTTTAAGGACTGCCGAGGGTGATAACAACTAACCTGCACATCCCTATTTAAAAATGCTGTTCACCAATGTATTGCCATCAGTTGTAAGTGTGAATGCATCCCGTGGGGAATATTCACTCTGAACTGGCCTTAAGAGAGCTTGTGACTACAAAAGGGCCACACATTTTTAGATTATGTGAGGATATAAAAGTTGTCTTTATACAGTTCTGCGTCTCTCTTCTGTAACATGGCACTTCTCCTCTTGTTTCCCCAGGCAGTTGATGAAATGAATGGAAAGGAGATTAATGGGAAAACCATCTTCGCTGGTCGGGCTCAGAAGCGACTGGAGCGCCAGGGAGAGCTCAAGCGCAAGTTTGACCAGATCAAACAGGACCGCATCCAGCGCTATCAGGTGCTTTAATTTGTATGGCAGCAGTGTTTCCCCTACCATTATGTTAGGGGGGCGGCCCGAGATGGGGAAAGTAAAACCTATTACTAGTTTCTCTTTGTGATTCCAGGGGGTGAATCTGTATGTGAAGAACTTAGACGATGGCATAGATGATGAGAGACTCAGGAAGGAGTTTGCTCCGTATGGTACCATCACCAGTGCCAAGGTGTGTAATGATTTTAGATGGCTGTTATCTTTACTAAAATGTACAACTGTCCTGTTTAAATGCCCGTTCTTGAGTCAAGTACCTCCTACTATGAACACGATTGTCTTTGTTTCCTGAAGGTCATGACTGATGGCTCACTGAGCAAAGGCTTTGGCTTCGTGTGCTTCTCCTCACCTGAGGAAGCGACTAAAGCAGTCACTGAAATGAATGGGAGGATCGTTGCCACCAAGCCGCTGTATGTGGCTCTTGCTCAGAGGAGGGAGGAGCGTAAAGCCATCCTGACCAATAAATACATGCAGAGACTTGCTTCCTTGAGGACCATGACCAGTCCCATAATAGACTCATATCATCAGGGCGGATACTACATGACTGTACCACAGGTATCACAGAAATTCTTCATCTAAGGCTTCAAAAGCTGCTGTATGAAATGTTATATAAATCATAAATAAATCCCTCTGAATGGGGCTGTAGATGTATTTCACATCATTTTTAAATGACACATGTTGTGCAATGTGATATTACAAGTGTAATGTCTTTTGAATTTCCTCTCAATATTCGCATTGTTGTTCCATAAGCCTATATTTTAACTTCCAGCCTCCAGCTCGCTCCTTCTACAACCACAATGCCGTCAGCAACATGAGACCGGTACCTCGATGGACAGGACAACCACCCAGAGTGCAGGGTGAATGGCTCACTTGTTTTATCTGCACATATGTAAATATGCATTGTGTGTCAATGTTGTCTCCTCCGTTTTAAGGACCCTACCCAGCCCAGTATGCTGGTACCTCTGTTCCCCGTCGTGGATCCAACCCAATCGCCACAGTCAGACAGGCTTCCACTCAGGCTCCCCGCATCATCAGCTCGTCACAGAAGACAAGTAAGTACAAGCACAACAATGACAACATGATGAGCTCAATCCTTCAAACATGGGACCTGATCCATGCAGTGTCTTTATTCAGATAACATCGGGACTCAGACTGTGGGAGGGCGTACTGATGTGCCTGGTGTGACCAGAAGTGGCCAGTACAAGTACTCGTCTGCTGTGAGAAACGTCACGCAGGTTGTTACTATACCTGCGCCCATGACCAGGCTACAGGTACTGCAGTCTGATGCTGAAACCCATCAAGGGTCTGTTGTTGAGTTTTCTTGGTAACAAAGCTTTGTTCAAATTAATTAATTTAATAACAGGACAGTTCTTCTCTTTGCTAATGCTGGCTAACTACCTCTCTTAATGTTCATCCTCCTAGCTTTCAGATCATTTTAATAACATGGTGTCTGGGGAAGGATTTAATGATACCAGGGTCAACGATGCAACTCAGTCTTTTTGGATGTCATTAGTTATTTGTATATGTGCTCCTGCTTTCTGCAGACAGCATCATTTTTTCAGGTTAAACTAAACATTTACATTAACTTTAGAAATAGTTTTATAGGCTCAGGGAGAGTTCAACAAGAATCAAACGATTGCAATCTGATTTCAGTTACAGCTGTTTTAAAACTGGTTCTTCTGTATAGTTGCTCTTTGATGAGATGCTTTAAGTGGCATGGGATTATTTAGTTGCAGTAGGACTGACTGGCTGTGCTCTATGTAGCTCTGTTAGTGTGCATGGCCTGCATCCTTTGCATCCTTGCAAGCATGCATACCAACAAACATGGATAAAAAAACACCACACAGTACCTTTTTGAATTTTTATATAAAGTGTAATAATATATGCTGAGGCTGACTTTTTTTTTTACTTAAATATTTAATAAAGAATCAAAGTTATTAGTGGTTATGCTAGCAAACCTGAAAAATAAAGCATATATTCAAATGAACAAAACAAAAAAACTTACTTTGATGAGCTGAAAAGAAACTGCTTTAAGCAGTATTATGTTTCAGTAAATATTGCTTGGTAGCTCGTTGTTGAAAGGTTTGTAATATTGCAGGAAAATAAGTCCTTTAAAATATAACTGTTTGAACTTTTCTCCACAACATCTTCAGGTCATTTCTGCTCCTGTGATTGAGCAGCAGGTTCACATTCAAGGCCAAGAGCCGCTCACCGCCTCACTGCTGGCTGCAGCTCAACCCATGGATCAGAAACAGCTTCTTGGTGCGGGCATTGCTTGATTTTGTTTCCCCTCCGTCTATTTCCTCCAATGAAGATTCATGCTTCTTGTTTGTTTAGCTGTTCACCCTCTCTCTTTGTGCTGTGATAATGCAGGAGAGAGACTGTACCCTCTGATCCATTCCCTTCACCCAAACCTGGCTGGAAAAATCACTGGGATGCTGCTGGAGATAGACAACTCTGAGCTGCTTCACATGCTGGAGTCGCCCGAGTCCCTGCACGCTAAGGCATAAATATGTTTATCTTCTCTTATCTTCCGTTTCTGGCCACTATTGGCCTAAAAACAAATGTTATAGTTTTTTTTTTTTTTTATCTTCACCTCAAAATATCTGAGTAAGTCTTGTCTGAATCAACTTAAAGTAAACCAGGTATTTTTAAAATGTGTGTGTGTATATATATATTTCTTTTTTACTGGCCTCTTGCTCACCCTCCACTATTCACTAACTGATGAAGAACAATCTCCTTCCACACTTCAGTTTTTATCTTAAAACTGCTGCAGAGTTGAGTGTTAAATGCTGTGATTTGTCTTTCAAATATAAAACTAAAAACTTGCAGGAACATTTTAGATAGGCTCTCCTGATCTACACTTGGATCAGAGCTAGGCCAGTTTTTTCCTCTGTGTGGTGCTATAAGACTGTTTTTTCCTCTCTCATTGGTCAGGTGGATGAGGCGATCGCTGTCTTGCAGGCCCACCAGGTGAAGGATTGCTCTCCTAAGAAGTAAAGGTTCTTTCAAGTAAGCATTGACTTTTGTAGAGCCTCACTGTTTATTATCGGTGCTGGTAAAAGAAGTTAAAGCTCAAGCCTCAGTTGTTAAATATGTCCTTGTGTGATCGTCACTATTTGACATGTTCATGAAGAGTCCTGCATAGCTGTTTTTTACAGAAAGTGTGCTTATTTGAAAGCATTGAATGTTTTCACTTAAATTTTAATCATGTCATTTTTCCTCAGATGTCAGCAACTTTTTGGAGGAAGATTTAAAAAAAAAAAAAAGAAAATCGAAAAAATCATTTCTATGTGGATTAAATTGACAGAAAGAGATTTGTAAAGTTAAAGCTATTTTGTTCTAATACCTTTTGTTAGAAGATAAAAGTTTACAGTATATGCATCAAACTGTCTTGGTCATTTGTTAAGCACACAAGTTCAACAACTTAAGGTTGAAAATGTTTCATATTACCGTATTTTCCGCACTATAAGGCGCACTTAAAAGCCTTTAATTTTCTCAAAAAACGACAGTGCGCCTTATATATGGATCAATTGGTTAATTGGTTGATCCATACTGGTTGTACACGGCGCTCAGCGACACTGACTCGGATAATGACGAGAGGGAGCCGGGCATGTTGGATGCCGTACTCGCCCAACTGTTCAATTCGGACTCTGAAGAAGAATTCGAGGGATTCGTGGACAGGGAATGAACTGAAAAAGTGAGCTTTACGTGTTATACGTAACTGAACAATGTTGAGTTATGCACTAACGTTTGAATTAGCGGTATCAGACTGTGTTTCTTTTACGTGTTTACAACTGAACAAGGCTGGGAGATATTGTGAATATGCACATTAACGTTTGAACAACGTTGAGTTATTGTGAATGCACTACGTATAAAACTACGTTTTGAGAGTTAAGAGAAACGTCAAAGAAATAATTTATTATTTGGGGAAATCGTCTTATGTACTTTTGTAGTTTTATACGTATTTATATTTATATATTCACAATATCTCCCAGCCTTGTTCAGTTGTAAACACGTTCTATTCTATGCGCCCTATAGTGTGGAAAATACGGTAATACACAAATCTCACTGTATTGGTTGTGGAGGACATCTATCGCATATCCTTTGCCTTTCTGTAGTTCAGAGGTTTTAAGTCACATTTGTGGGCAGTGTCCCCCCACAGAAACAACCTGATTTATGATGGCTGCATCTCTCACCACCAGCCCTTTCCAGCTACATTATTCACAAGGGCCATCAATTACTGAACTTTGTGAATTAAATCAGTTTGAATGTATTGACAGTAGGTACTGCAATTCAAGTTTACACTGAGTATGTTCAAGAGATCTTTCCTGAAATGAGTGATGGCAAGAGAAGTGTGGTTCAATTCTGACATTGGTATCATGTGCACTAAACCTGGTGTGAGAAACAACACTAAAATGTCAAATCTGCCAAAGTTTATTGGGAGCCTTCATACAAAAAATGAAATTATGGCTGTAAAAAGTTACAAAGGATTATTCATGACATTGATATACTTTTGGCATTTAAGGCCTATCAACCCAACATGTTTCTGTATTCCTTTGCAATTTATTTTAAATCTAAAACAGTTGATTTGAAACAAGCAGATAAGACAGTAATATTTAAAAACTTCGACCAATAGATACCTGCAGATTACTTCTCAGTGGTAGTTTTACAACACAAACCCACAAAATTCTGAAATGCAGCTGAAAAGAAAATGCCTATTTTCAAAGGTGAACACATTAACGTGAGGCAACTTTTATTACACACAGCCAACTAATTTCAATGCGCCGGTTTCAATGACATTTTCATGAATGCAAACAAATGTATATACACAGACTTTCATTAGCTTGTATCAGATCATCGACGTGCTGGCATTAGAAGCTGCTTCGCTGTTACTGAATCAGGGAAAAGGTTGTGGTAGGTTGGTAAAGGAACATAGGCAGCTGTAATCATTTTTCCTGGAAAGAAAAAGAAGAAAAATTATACACAAGTTCTGGTTCATTTGATGCATTTCAGAGATTAAAAAACAGAGTTAACAAACCTGCAAACCAGCGTCCATGAAGTGCATTAACAGTTGCCATTGCTGCTGGTATTGAGGGACACTTCACGTACACATTACCCTTTGAAAAACACAGAACAGACAATATCACAAAATTGAACTCCATGCCCTATCACAGTTTTTACCTACATGTACACCCCCACCAGGCCAAGTTAAGTGACTCTTTGACTGTACTTACTTGAGCAGAGTTTTTATCAACATAAATGTGAACAATTCCTCCATGTTTGTTGCACTCCTCAATGACATCGTCCTGGATCTCGATGGCCCAGGTGGGATCATTTTCCCTGAAAAACATGGAAGCATTATCAAGTCAAACTATGTCTATTAAACAGTTAAAGCCAAAATGAGGTCTTCCAACTAAAAATGACCAGCTTGTAAAATATAAGGCTAAAAGGTACTTACGATTGTGGGTTGAACAGGTTGGATAGCTGTAGGCAGTGTGTGGCCAGCGGCTGTGATGGGAGGTTCAAGGCTTGGCTTGGAGCTGGAGCTGGAACAGCTGAAACAAACAAAATAATAATGGAAAATGTGTCGTTGAATTTCCACCAAGTACTCAGAATCAAGAATACTTGATTAATCCCAGGGAGAAATTCTGTTGTTACCGTTGCTCTTCACACAATACAGCAGTATGAAATAAAATAACCAATAAGTACAGAGGACTACTATACTACAAGATGAACTGTGATAACCAGATATTGCGGTGTATCAACCAACCCCCATGACATGTTTTGAACTCTCCCTACACGTACCTGGTGGAGCAGTGATGTTTCCAAAGGGTATAGAGCCGGTCATCTGCAGGGCTTGCTGAGCAGCAGGAGGAATCTTCAGACCAGTTCCTGTGAATGGATGGGAACGAGACCTTTGAGTGCAGGTTAATTTAAAATGATCAAACCATTACAGTTGTTCATGACACTAACAGAAGATATTAAGAAAACAGACCACAGCTGAATGAGAATTGGTCTCCTTTCTGTAAATCATTGATTTTAAATGAGAAAAGTTTTGTTCTATTGATTGACTAGGCCTGTCACTTTCAATTCAACAACTACGGCTCAAATATAAAATTAAGTGACAGCCATATGATTGACTGGTCATTTAAAAAAAAAAAAAAAAAAACATGTTTAGTTAAAGGGTAGGGCTGACTAGCAGAAACGTTTCGTTGAGTAGAACACTTTTTTTTTTTAGAATATCTACAATAATGTTCCTGTGCGAAAACGACAGAGTATACTTTCTTGGGCCTTTCTTCTAAAAACGTAGAAACGGGTGCAGTTATAACGAACCTTCTGCTAGTCGAGCCATGAGCTGCAGACGCCCAGTTGTGCCAAGGTCGATGCCGGTCCTCTCCAGCTCATCGTTGTCCAGGAAAGAGCTAGCTGTCGATGAGTCGGAGCGCTCTGTAACATGGCCCACTTTCATTGGACGTCCCGCCAGCTCAAAGCCATTCAGTTGCTCCAAAGCCTTTTTTGCACACTCTGCATCTGCAAACTTAAAAAAAAAAAAACAGGAGTAAGAATCCCACTACCTGCTACGACAAAAGCAGAATGTGTGATATATGAACACTTAAGGTACCGATATGAAGCCATATCCTTTGGACCGTCCTGTCTCGCTGTCCATCATCAGCTGGATTCCCTCAATCTTAAAGACAAATGAAATGTAAGCAATGGTCCTACAAAAAATGGAAGAGATGTATAATTTATATTGGAACTCATTCCTGACCTTTCCAAAAGGTTCAAAGATCCCTCGAAGCATTTCTTCAGTTATGTTGAAATGCAGCGAGCCCACATACAGGCGCATTGGACCTGAGCTGCCCTTCTGTAGATTATTTGCAGCTGCTGCTGCTCTGTTTTTCTCTGCCTGTAATCACATTTGAAAGGGAATGTAGTTATTTTAATTCGGCATACTTGTTTAGAAATATTGAATGTGACCCAGCCCAATGTGACCTGCTTTATCCCAGGGGCTTATTGTTTACATTTTACACAGTGCTCTTCACACCCAGCACTGTTTGTTGGATAATTCCAAACATTTCATCTTAGATTTCATGAACTGAAGACTTGGCCGCTCAGTGTTTGGGTCACTGACAGTCCTCTGTCCCATGCAGACAGCATGGCAGCGGTCTATTTTTATGTTCGGTCACATCGGGTAGAAATAGTCCAGTAGAAGTTATACTTAGATGAAGTTACCATGACCTGAGAGGCCTGGACGATGATGGGCACTCCTAAAAGCCTCTGTCCAGTCAATCCAATTGCCAGTGGTACAGATGAAGCCTCCACAAACTCTATGTATGCAATGCCCTTTGACCTCCTGGAGTTTCTGTCCGAGATCATCCTGACATCTCTTACCTACAAAGAAAAACAGAACATTTTAGAGATCATTTCCATACTCAGACCTGCAACATTTGACGTGATTATAACATGGAAACCAACTGACTTTTCCAACAGCTGAGAAGAAGTCTTCCAAGTCTCGAGCTCGGATTCTGGCAGCGAGCTGCATACAGAAAACTGTGCGGGCATCCCTCTCCTCTGGTGTTAGATTGTCAATGGGTTGTCTTAGAAAAAAAAGAAAAGAAAAAAAAACATTATAGAAGGCACCTGGGTTCAATAAGTGAAGCTTGTAAATAATGTGTGAAATTATTTATTCCATACAAATCAGAAGACGATAAAAAAGACAAAGCCAAAAATGTAGTGCCATAAACATTGATCTCACCTGATGGGACTCTTTTCTTTTTTGAAAGGGGGGCTCCGACTTTTGGTTCGTTTCCGGCTAAAGTAAACAAAGAAGCAGGATGTGATGTCTACTGAAGCAAAAAAAACTACTACTGGGTCTCCCACGAACAGAAGTACTATGAACAATAAACAAGATTAATGATGGCTGACTTCCACTTTGTAGCTTCTGATTTGAGACACCAACTGCACACTGGTTCACTGCCATGCTTTCTAGGGACACTTCAATAAACCTTACATTTTTTAAGCTGGCACAGTAAAATGTAATGAAGACTGGGCTGCATTTCTAATATCTTGCCCTTCTCCTCTATGTAAATAATGACTTCAAATTTAGATACAACTCTTAATATAGTAGAGTCTAGTACAACGACATCTCCGACTATGAACTCCTTATAAAAAGTACAGTCACATTCTGCCTATATAGACAATGTGAGCCAAGTAGAAATATATGTTGTAGCAGGGCTGCATTTGACTGTAAG